AATCGAAATATTGAGAATATCACAATTAAAGTTGTCTATATGAAATGCTTGGCATTGGAACTTACTAATACGGAATTGTTTTTTGATATATTTGCAGTAGGAAATGTACAAATATATTCATGGAACATGATCTTAACTTGATATCCTAATGATTTTTTACATTAAAAAAAATCTCTAATTTTGATCCACACAATGTATTTTTGGATACTGCCAAAATAAACCTGTGCAACATGAGACTGGGTTTTGTGCTCCAGGATCACATTTTTTTAAAATGCAATCATTTCAAGGTAGTTTTAGAGGAGCTTTAAGGCAGATGCTACCAAACTAAGGTCAAGGGAGGGAAAACTCAAGGATGCCGTGCAATAAACCTTTAGAGAACATACATTTTCCTTGATAAATCTTTGGAGAGATGATGTAGCTGTCTGAGACAACAACATCAACAACTGAACGGCAGAACATATTGGACATTGATGTAAAGGCGTTAGCAAGGATTTAGCAACAATCACAGAAAGGGTGCATCCAGTTTGACATATCGACAAAACAACAGATGCCTTGAGGACAACAGTTCACGCTTTTAAAAAAAAGTTTACAAGCGTAAAGATGTCTGCTTTATTATTTACTCTTTCATACCTCAGTGCATTGTGTCCAGCACACTGCCGTTTTCTTCAAATACACATAAAAGTTTCAATGCTTGATTTTTTCTGACAATGATAGTGAATAAAACTGCAACAAAAATGTGAATCATTTCTTTATAAACACAAGGGAAAGAAGGGCATTTCAGTATTGCTATTATTGTAAAACACTCTCTCTCTCACACTCACACACACATACACACACACACAGTGGCCTGCTTTCATTTCAGGCCGCCCCTCCTATCATAGCAGGAGATGCATCTCTCACCACCTGGGATGTTACCCAGCGCTGGAAGTGGTAATTGCGTTTCAATTATAGACATGTGTGCGCGTATGTTTGTGTGCCTGATCTTGCGCCACAGTCATGGTAGGACACTATTCATTGCATAAACGAGAGACAACGCTATTTCGGTTGAGCATGATTTTTTTTTTTGACCAACCAAAACAGTCAAATGCTATCTGCATCCTCTTTCCAGGCTGAGACAGCAATGACTAAAGGGACAGTTTACCAGTAAAATTCAGGATGTGTTTTGTGTTGCTGATGATTGAAAAATATTTTTAGCTGTGGGTTAAAGTAATGTTGTCAGTAATATTTACAGTAGTTTTTAGCACAAGCTGACCTTTAGTATCATCAGACAGAATGGGTACTGTACACTCACCGGCCACTTTATTAGGTACGCCTGTCCAACTGCCGTTAACGCATTTTTTCTAATCAGCCAATCACATGGCAGCAACTCAATGCATTTAGGCATGTAGACTGAGGCTACAATTCGCACAAGCTCACCAAAATTGGACAATTGAAGATTGGAAAACGTCGCCTGGTCTGATAAATCTTAATTTCTGCTGTGACATTCGGGTGGTAGGGTCAGAATTTGGCATCAATATAATGAAAGCATTGACCCATCCTGCCTTGTATCAACGATTCAGGATGGTGGTGGGGGTGTAATGTGTGGTGGATATTTTCTTGGCACACTTTGAGCCCATTAGTACTAATTAAGAATCGTGTCAACACCACAACCTACCTGAATATTGTTGCTGACCATGTCCATCCCTTTATGACGACAGAGTACCCATCTTCTAATGGCTATTTCCAGCAAGATAACGCGCCATTTTATAAAGCGCGAATCATCTCAGACTGGTTTCTTGAACATGACAACGAGTTCACTGTACTCAAAAGGCCTCCACAGTCACCAGATCTCAGTCCAATAGAGTACCTTTGGGATGTGGTGGAACAGGAGTTTAACATCTTGAGTGTGCAGCCGACAAATCTGCAGCAACTGCGTGTTCTGAAAACACAATGGGGTCCAACCCGGTACTAGTAAGGTGTACCTAATAAAGTGGCCGGTGAGTGTATGCTTTTGTTACTATTATTAATATTAAGGTGCCAGTAGTTTCATTTTATGAATAACCAAAGATTATTTAAATAAAAATCTCCTTTAAATGTTCCACTGAAGAGAATAAATATCTTGAATGACCTTAGGGTGAGTAAATCAACAGCAAACTTCTAATTTTAGGTAAACTACAGTGTTTTTAACTCTACAACCACAGCTACTTTAATGCCTGTTTACAATAAGGATGGTAACTTTGCAGTACGGTGACGCAGTGGGTATAGCACGATCGGCTCACAGCAAGAAGGTCACTGGTTCGATCCCCGCCTGAGTTGGTTGGCATTTCTGTGTGGAGTTTGCAAGTTCTCTCTGTGTTTGTGTGGGTTTCCTCAAGGTGCTCTGGCTTCCCTACAGTCGAAAGACATCCACCATAGGTGAATTGGGTAGGCTAAATTGTCCGTAGTGTATGAGTGTGTATGGATGTTTCCCAGTAATGGGTTGCAGCTAGAAGGGCATCAGCTGCGTAAAACAAAGGCTGGGTAAGTGGGAGGATCATTCCGCTATGGCGACCCCGGATTAACAAAGGGACAAAGCCGAAAAGAAAATGAATTAATAATGGAAACTCAAAGGGTTTAAACATCCTTACATTCATTCTAGAGTAAGAATGGTGCAATCTGTCACAACTACTGTATGGAAATATCAGTCACAGGGGAATGACATAACTGTAATCACTTTCATAATGATTTATTTTGCAGTTGATGAAGAATTAAAAGTACAGCCAATAACATCAATACTCAGCATATATAAGTACACCCCTCTAATCTTTTAAATTCATACTTTTAATATGAAGCAATACAATATTATATTTGTGCATATTAGTCAGTGCTCAAGACAAATCTGGAGCTTATCTAGCAAAAATAACTTACAAAAAAGGTCCAAAAACAAGTACCCCCTAAATATATACATTGAGGAAAAATAATAGATACAAATTTTAAAACAGAGGAAATATCAAGAGAAGCAAAAACATGTAAAAAAAAATTTAGTAAAAAAGTTTTTTAAAAATTTAGTAGTAATTTTTTTTTTGCAATATTCTGCTTGAATTGAATTATCTTTCAATTTCTAAATATGTAAGGTGACTAAAATATCATTTTAATAAATATATCTGTTTAATAAATCTGTTTTGTTTAAAACGCACCAAATACATTGCCTATATTCACGGAGAAATGGATAAAAATATTCATTTTCAAAATGAGCTGTACTTAATTATGCTGAGCACCGTATACCCTGCTTTCAAAAGCTCAAACTTAAAGGCATAGTTTACCCAAAATGACAATTAATTTACTTTTTATTTACCCCGCAAGTGGTTCCAAACCTTTATGAGTTCTTTATTACATTAAAAAGAAAAGAAGATATTTTGAAGAAAGTTGAAAACCTGTAACCATTGACTTCCATTGGAAAAACAAATACTGTGGAAGTCAATGGTTACTTTTTTTTTTTTTTGCAGCTTACTTAAAAATATCTTATTTTGTGTTTAATAGCAGAAAGAAAGTCTAACAGCTTTGGAACAAGTGAAGGTGCAAACGACAAAACTATAATGTGCCTAATAATAACCAAGCATTGGTCTGCATCCAAACATAGGTATATTTTATCTTTATAGTTATTGTTTTTGCTGTGAACACATTTGTTGCTATCTTTATCGTTATCCTTTATGGAGTTGATAAAACACACTATAAGAAATGCATGTGTATTCAATCAGAGTAGTTTTTAATTGCCTATTTTGTCCACCCACAAAGCATACAGTCAGACGCACTCATAATTACATCAGCCACTCCAATAAAAGCCAGCTATATAGTCCATCAGTAACATTATGGCGTCAATCAAAGCACACCTATAGCAACCAATAATAATGTGACCTGGCGAGCTCCAATGATAAAGCAGCTGTCAGCGTGAACGCCCCTTTACACGTCATAATGGACAGACGCCCAAACAGCTGAGTGAGTGGACTCTCTCTCTCTCTCTCTCTCATGTACGCGCGCACTTTATTACTCTGACATCTGGCGCTTTTCACTAATATAATCCCTTTTCCCTTCCTGAACGCCATGCTTCCAACAAGCAGAACAAGATGCTATCATCTATCTATCTATCTATCTATCTATCTATCTATCTATCTATCTATCTATCTATCTATCTATCTATCTATCTAACTTGTGGAACAGCTAGTTGGAGATAAACTAAGCCCAGATATAAAGAGCTGATAGCCATAAAAAGCGATATTTATATCTGTCAACAGCTTAAGATAAATATAAGAAGGATGGGTCCCTGGAAATAAAATGACATAACAGCTCATGAACCATAAACACAAAATGACAATATCCATCTGCACATGTTGCTTTCAATACTCCATCTCTTTAATCTTTGACGATCTTGAGCCACCTGCCATATCCGAGCGCGCGCTCATCTGGACATCAAAGCGGATTTGGCGCGGCCCGCCACTTTCATACCGTTACACACAGCGAGCATCCAGTATTGACAACCCATCATACGCTGAGCAAAACTGGCACGATCATATTGGAATCAATGAACGTAGATTTTTGAGAGGGTAATAACTGAAAGATCCGACTCCCTCAAGAGTCATTCGGACGACACTGGGCGCGCTGTGTGATTTTAATTCACTAAATGGAAAGGCTTGACAAGAGCCGATCGTTTAGAATTTGAATTGGTTGTCTGCTTGTATCAGCGATAGATGCACTGAAATTAAAATAATTTAAACCACTTATTTTGGTTATATTTTGAATAACAACATTTTCCATCCCCTCGTATATACGCGTTTAACATGCACAAGGCCTACAAACTCATCTTCAACATCCTCTCAGGATCAAACTGATGAACAATGTCCTACATTTTCTCTATATATTACAAAATTTCGCGTTTTACTATGTAATGACACGTATTTCCCAGCCGTATGTGGCCATTGAAGCATTAGCAAGGGGGTGTGTAGGGTGTGAGGAGACGTTTAAAGATCGGTGGGTGTGATACTCACTCGCTTTGCCCTGTTTGGGTCTCTGGAGGAGCCGCTGGACGGTAACCAGATCCTCCGTCTTCACCGCCTGCAAGAGTTCCTGTTCTTTCCCCATTCTGTTCAGTCACACACTCAAGCACCCTCTCTCACACATGCAGTCATGGCTATACTTCTACATCCAGCGCATCTTCAGGGGACCAGGCGACCATAACGGTGCCGTAAACGCCAGCACATCCTCGCCGCTCATCGTAAAAAGGTCGAGTGCGCAGAGACGCGTTCACATGCCCAGCAGAGTGACCAGCAGCGTCCACGCAGTCGCTAACCACTAAAAACGGGCTTAATGCGTACTGAGGTGACAGAGTCCAATCGTTTTCAGGTTAAAGGGACGAATCGGAAACCTTGCGCGTATTTACGCACGGTGACATGCTGTATCTTTACAAAAATAGCAGATGCTCTATAAATCAAAACGGAAGACGTCTCTTTGACCCGAAGCTCACAGAGAGACCGCATATATATTACGTAAACATCCAGGCAGATGTGCGCGCGGGTGCTGGAGGTTGTAATCCGCTGTCGCTTTCTCATGTGCGCATGTATGTGTGTGTCTGTGTATGTGTATGTATGGCAAGCCGTTTCAACATTTATTCTTTAAAACTGACAAGTATCAATTTGTGTGCTATTAATGATTGTAAATCACACAGACTAGCCTACTTTTTCAGTTTCATCTTAAAAGGATAGGTCACCAAAAAAATAAATTAAAATAACCACTATTGTTGTACACAACACAAACAATAGGCTATACAATTTTAGTTCTTGGTCATTTGTAAAATAAATGTAACCCAGATTTTGAAAGTTTGATGAAGAGCCAAAAACCTAACTTGATTGAGGGCTGTAGACCGAAGTTAAATAAACCAAAGCGTTTTACATTAAATTTGCTCATTTGTTTGCTTATTAGCTAAAAATAACTAGAAAAGGTTGCTTTAACCTCTTCAGGCCCAAGCTGTTTTTTTTTTTACATGCATTTTTATTTCTCTTTGCTATTTGAAATTATTGGAACCTAATGTGATGATGTCCATATATGTGGACTCGTGGTCTGAATGTCCATAAAACACTTTTTCCTAATTGTTTTTAACACATACTTATTTTTTGAAAATGTTTTGACTATCAGAGAGTAAAAACGATTTTTATGTCCATTTTGGACAATTAAAATAGTGTTTGGGACATTTCATATGCTGCAAAACAGTTGCAGGAGGACATTGTATGTCTGTAACAAAATATAAAACACTCAAGGTATTTTAAATAGCCACTTAAGAGCTAAAATGTGCTGTCCATGTATGTGGCCACAAAACCCTAGGAGGTTAAAACATATTAAATAATAATGCAGTATAATTTTTAACATTTTATAATCAACTTATTATGGTAAAAACATAAACAATCCCACTTATAACACAACGGAGCTCAGTACTGAATACACTAGCTGAGCTGCTCCTGCCTTTGCCTTGATTTGCTCATCGGTGTTCTGGATTGTCCTCTATTTGTCGAGTGACAGTATTTACATTTTAAAAGTCATTTCTTTTGAAACATTTTAGTTGGCTTTTTTGTATCTCCTCAACTCAACAAAGAAACAAAAGGTTACATTAAATTTGAAATGGCGATCTCTGTCACCACTGGCTTGCGTGGTTTGGGACTTGTAGAGCTGCGCATTGATGGATTTGCTCTTCAGGGTTTGGACTCTCCAAATACCAAATACATTGCCTATATTCACGGAGAAATGGATAAAAATATTCATTTTCAAAATGAGCTGTACTTAATTATGCTGAACACCGTATACCCTGCTTTCAAAAGCTCAAACTTAAAGGCATAGTTCACCCAAAATGACAATTTATTCACTTTTTATTTACCCCGCAAGTGGTTTCAAACCTTTATTAAAAACAAAAGAAGATATTTTGAAGAAAGTTGAAAACCTGTAACCATTGACTTCCATAGTAGGAAAAACAAATACTGTAGAAGTCAATGGTTAATTTTATTTATTTTATTTTTTTTTTTGCAGCTTACTTAAAAATATCTTATTTTGTGTTTAATAGCGGAAAGAAAGTCGAACAGCTTTGGAACAAGTGAAGGTTGATGAGCTATCAAGTTAAAAGGTGCAAACGGCAAAACTATAATGTGCCTAATAATAACCAAGCATTGGTCTGCATCTCTGTCACCACTGGATTGCATGGTTTGGGACTTGTAGAGCTGCGCATTGATAGATTTGCTCTTCAGTGTTTGGACTCCCAGCAGTGAATATTAAACAACACTGACTTGAACTAAACTTAAAGACTGAAAACTGAACTGACACAGTTTCAATTCTCTATAATCTTCTAAGTGAAGCTCCTTTGACACAATTGTAAAAGCGCTATACAGATAAAGGTGAATTAAATTGAACTGTCAAAGGCATTTGCCCCAACCAACTCCCCATCATTATTTCTCTCTATTCAGATGGGATGGTGGGCCAAACCAAGGGTTACCATTGTCACCTCTGATGTATATCATTAATGGGATGTTTTGCCTGTCCAACCATTAACCATATAATTTCAAAAGAACCTTTTCATCTAAAAATCTCCTTTATCTTTAAAATAGCTTACATTTTGGATGACCTGAAAGTAATTTAAAGGGATAGTTAACCTCAAAATGTATTTTTTTACTCACTATTTACTCACGCTCAAATAGTTAAAACCTTTATGAGATTCTTTCATCTGTTAAACTCAAAAGAAGATATTTTGAAGAAAGCTGAAAACCTGTAGGGTGTCACGGTGGCGCAGTGGGTCTCCCACCAATAAGGTTGCTGGTTTGAGCCCTGGCTGGGTCAGTTGGCATTTCTGTGTGGAGTTTGCATGTTCTCTCCTTGTTTGCGTGGGTTTCTTCCGGGTGCTCCGGTTTCCCCCAGTCAAAAGACATGCGCTATACGTGAATTGAATAAGCTAAATTGGCATGTGTATGAATGTGAGTGTATGTGTGTGAATGCAAGAGTATATGGGTGTTTCCCAGTGTTGGGTTGCAGCTGGAAGGGCATCCTCTGCATAAAACATATGCTGAAAAAGTTGGCGGTTCATTCCACTGTGGCAGCCCCTGATAAATAAAGGGACTAAGCCGAAAAGAAAATGAATTAAAACCTGTAACCATTGACTTCCATAGCAAAAAACTAAATACATAAACAAAAAACAAATACATATAATGTCAATGGTTACAGGTTTCCAACATTTTTCAAAATATTACCTTTTGTTTTTAACAGAAAAGAGATACTCATAAAAGTCTGAAAGAGTAAAGGGTGAGTAAATGATGACTTAATTATCATTTTTGGCTGTGTACTGTCTCTTTAAAAGCCTTACTGTATGGTATTTAACACTGTTTTAAACAGTTAAGTCAAAGGGTTAACAAATATGTTAGTATACTATTTTCATACATTAATTTCTCTTCGGGCTTAGTCATCAGGGGTCACCAGTGGAATAAACCGACAACTTATCCAGCATATGTTTTACACAGCGGATGTCCTTCCAGCTGCAGCCCAGTACTGGGAAACATCCATACACACTCATTCATATTCATACACTACAGCCAATTTAGTTTATTCAGTTTACCTATAGCGTATGTTTTTGGACTGTAAGGGAAACCGGAGCACCCAGAGGAAACCCACGCCAACATGGAAAGAACATGCAAACTCCACACAGAAATGCCTACTGAACCAGGCGGGCCTCGAACTTGCGACCTTCTTGCTGTGAGGCGACAGTGCTAACCACTGAGCCACTGTGTCACCCTGTATACTATTTTATAAAAGAATAAACAGATGGAATGAATGTTAAAACAGCTTGCCACGGCGTGTGTGAGAGAGATTGCATGGTTAAATTGATGGTGCTGCATCAATCAGGGGGCGTGACTAAATAGACCCTTTCCCATGAGCCTGACAGATTAAACGGGAGGAAAGCAGTGTGTGTTTGTGTTTGTGTGTGAGAGAGAGCATGTTTTTGAGAAGAAAGGTCACTGGACAGATTTTAGCAGGATAGATACTGACCGTGTACAATGAGCCAGAGACACGTGGTCCTGCAAAGATAGCAGAAACACACACTTTTATAGCGATCTTTGAGGGGATTTCCCATCGACATAATGATTTTTATACTGTACAAACTGTAGACTGTGACATTACCCTAACCCTACTCTTAGACACAACTTAAAGAAAAAAAGAATACTTTTATTATATTTTTCACAGTTTTCATGGTTCATAAGCTATTTTCCTCCTGTCCCGACAAGGTCAAACACGGGGGCTCTCCATAGATCTAAGAGTTTTTAATACTGTACAGACTATATTCTATCCCCTACCCCTAAACCCAACTCTCACAGAAAACAATCAACATTTTTACATTTTCAAAATACTTAATTCTCTGTGGTTTAAGAGCTGCTTTTCTCATGTGCACACAAAAAAATGCCCCCTAAAAGGTCACAATTTACTGGTATTGCTAAACTTGTGGGGACATTTGGTCAGCTGATTGTGAATTGTGTAGATATTCCATTGTTATAATGTTTTTTTTGTATTGTACAAAATGTATATTCTATCACCCTACACCTATCCGTACTCCTTACAGGAATTGCATTTGTACTTTACATTTTTGCATTTGTAATTTTGCTAATAAACAAAACTGACATTACAAAAAACACATCACTATAAAGGTAGTAAGCAATGACAGGAAAGAGAACAGTTTTTTACTCATTTGATTTGTTATAAGAGAGCTGGCAAATAAATAAATAAAAAAAAATATATATATATATATATATATATATATATATATATATATATATATATATATATATATATATATATATATATATATATATATATATATATATATATATATATATTTCTGGAGTTTAAACTGACAAGGATTTAATATCATGCTGTTTTTTTTTTTGTTTGCTGAGTCCGGAGTAACTGAAGCAGGAGTTGTAAAGGCACCGCTCTCTACTAGAAAGGGCCAGGGCAGCAACTGATTTGCATTTAAAGAGACACTGCATGTGTAAACAATGGCATTTACAGCATGACTGAATCTTCACAGACACACTCATTCATGATCAATTAAAAAGCATAGCCAGTTAATAGAAAAAAAATCATAACAGGACCCTTTTAAGTTGCTTTATGTTAAAAATCTTGCAGTGCAGTGTGTGAATTTCAATTAAGCATGTTCAAACGACATATTTCTACAGTTTGTGTGATAAAATAACTGAAGATTCACAGAAGAGAAAAACGTTAATTTTAGTTTGAGCATTTCCTTTAAATCTCACTGGTGGCCCTCAGACACTGATAGCCAAACTGCATTGATGATTATCACATAATTAAATCGCTCCCTTTCTCTCTATCTGTCTTTTCAGCCATAATTTTAGTGACAATCTCACAATTAAAAGTCTGCGATATGATCCATAACTCCCTAAAGGTGTCAGCAAAACCAGAGCAGATGGTTCTAATTTGGGCTTCATTTTAGTCCACATCAGTCAGTGGGTAATTGGTCGGACTTTATTTATAATATTGTAAAGAGGCTATATTTATATTCTGTTATCTGTGAAGTGCAACTACCAGTCCTTGACTCTTTCTTATCTGGAATCTGCCATATTTGTGGATCTTTTTTAGTGGTTCTCCATCAGTTTACTACTGCAGATCTGCCGTGCAGCAGAGATTAATATTAACTCTAATTAAACACAACTGAACCAACAAATGCAGCAGGTGTGTTGACTGGAGCTGGAAATACAGTAAACTCTCCTGAAAATGAAATATACAGATTAAGAACTGAACTACTACTATAAGGGCTCTCTTAATTTCAGCATACAAGCTTAATACAGTATTAGGCTCAATTGTTTTCTGTTATTCTATGTGCTCATTTTTAGTATTCAATAATAGATTTTTAGTCTTAGTCCCCGTATTCATCAGGGGTCGCCACAGCAGAATGAACCGCCAACTTATTCAGCATATGTTTTACACAGCAAATGCCCTACTAGCTACAACCCAGTATTGGGAAACACCAATACACACTCATTTACACACATACACTACGGCCAATTTAATTTATGCAATTCACCTATGGCGCTTGTTTTTGGACTGTGGGGGAAACCGGAGCACCCGGAGAAAACCCACACTAATACGGGGAGAACATGCAAACTCCACACAGAAATGCCAACTTACCCAGCCGGGACTCGAACCAGTGATTTTCTTGTCGCCCTGATTTTCATTAGATTAGTTTATGTTTATTCATTCATTCGTTTATTCATTAATTCATACATTCTTTCTTATCTGCATCAAAGATGTTAAAGCATCACAACAAGAAAAGTTTAATGCAAATTTTTGTGTTTTTTTTTTTTAATCAATAGAATTTTTCCAGTTTTTTTTTTTTTTTTTTTGTTCTGAGCAAAGCATTTTATCTATGATTTAAACAAGAGATCTGCCAAATTGTCATCCGCTGTAAGAACGGCTGAATGGTAAAAAAAATTATGTCAGGCAGATTTTAAATTATAATTATTTTTTTATAAAAATTATATAGAATAAAATAAATTAACACATAAATAAATAATTATTAATGAGCGAATATTCGCATAATAATAATCACATCCAAAATAAAAAATTTTTAGACATAATTTAAGAGTGTGTACTGTGTGCATGCATGTATTTGAGTAAAAGTTTATTTATATTTAGATATAAAACATATGTGTAATAAAATATATACAAATAATTTATCAATTTAAACATCTGTGTCACAAAATTGTTTTATATAGTTTCGTTTCTATGTGTGTATCATAATATAGAATACACATGGATTGATGTATGATTTCCACAAAAACACTGAACAGTGCAACATTCATAATCCATATTTCAATAAAACAGCATTTTATAAAGATTTCTAAAGAAAACTGAAGATTAGAGTAATAACGCTGAAAATTATTTTGTTTTGCCAATAAATAATATTTAAAATTTGTTAAAATAGAAGCCATATTTAAAATTGTAATAATATTAACAATAATGCTGCATTTACCATATTCTGAGGAAATAAAATCAGCTTTTCTGAGCAGAACCATTCGCACACAATAAATAATAATATGCATTATTATTATTATTATTATTATTATTATTATTATTATTCCACACAATTCCTTCTTGTTTATCTCCTAACACAAATCAATTAAGTTAGAATCATTCATTCATTCATTTTCTAGTCGGCTTAGTCCCTTTGTTAATCTGGGGTCACAGCAGCGGAATAAACCGCCAACTTATCCAGCAAGTTTTTACGCAGCGGATGCCCTTCCAGCCGCAACCCATCTCTAGGAAACATCCACATACACATTCACACACACACACACTCACACATTCATACACTGCGGACAATTAAACCTACCCAATTCACCTGTACCGCATGTCTTTGGACTGTGGGGGAAACCGGAGTACCCGGAGGAAACCCACGCGAACGCAGGGAGAACATGCAAACTCCACACAGAAACGCCAACTGAGCCGAGCCTCGAACCAGCAACCCAGCGACCTTCTTGCTGTGAGGCGACAGCACTACCTACTGCTCCACTGCAAGTTAGAACCGTTTTTACAAATTTAAGTGGACTCAACATGAAACAATGAAGTTGTCCCAAAAACAACTTAAAGGGCACCTATGATGAGAAAAATCAACGTTTGGAAGCTGATTGGACAGAACTGTCTGCAAGTATAATGTGTCCACTGTCATTGGAGTGATATAAACCCAATAAGTCTCTCTTTTTTCCTGATGTTAAAATAGGATCCAAATCCCAGTGATTTTGAGGTCCACTGCAACATGATGTCGGAGTGTGGTTTTCCCCACCCACTGAATTGATTGACAGGCGCCATGTTTCAATTATAACATGTATACACGTGTCCACAGAACATTAGTTTTGCAAATAAACTAGGATTAAACTATTTATTACAACCCTCTGTGATTTCTATAAGGTTTGTGAGTGTAAAACATTTTTAAAACAGAGCATGTTTGTAATAAAGACAGTAGCTACATGATGGAAATGCTAAGATGCACATACATTTGGTAAATGCGCATAAAAACACATGAGCATGACTGAGCAGGATACAAAAAGGTCATGTGATGTTGTTATAGAAGATCATGTAATGGTAAAGATGTGTGTGAACGGACAAACGCAGTCATTTAATTAGGAAATCATAATAATTCTTAACCACTATAATATTAGCCGCTTGGTGTCAATAAACACTAGTATGTGTGTGTGGCTCATCATTTCAGAAAGTCTTGAATAAACTACACCACAAATACATCAAATAAACTTACTTGGTATTTTGGACTAAGCTGTATTTCAGCTTCATCTGTGTCTGTCTCTGTTACTGTGCTGTTTATCTGATATAAGGCATGATGAGAATCGTGGTGGGCGGGGAGAATCAGCTCATTTGCATTTAAAGCCACAGGTTACAAAAACAGCTACGCTGTACTCAAACACCAACATTGGCAGATTCTGGAGGCTATAACGTCAGCTCCAACGCTTCCCATTCACTTTGAATGGGTGATGTCAGGCGTTGCCGAACTGCATTGTGGATCCATCGGCACCGCTTCAATAGCTGCAGAAGTTGGGACTTGCTCAACTTTTCAAGCGTAGATGGAAGCGTCAGTCAATCAGATCGCTGTATGCAAATACACCAGCTCATACAGTGGCCTATTGCTGACTTATTTCATTGGCTGACGCTGCTATGACGATCACGTCAGCCCCAACTTCAGACACGCCCTCTGTCAAGCGTTGACTCTGAAGCCTAGTGTGAATGGGGCGCAATAAATTGTCTGATGGGCATTCTGAGCTTAAACTTCACAGAAACATTATGAAGACACTAAAGGCTTACATCTTAAAACATGTGCCCTTTAAGAACGGTGTTGTTTCAACTCATTTTGAATAAGTAGTTTGAGCGAAGAGCAACGTATTTTTTCCTTCCAGTAAACTGATTGCACAAACCGTACCGTAAAGTCCTGCTGATCTGAAGTCTGACCCCAGTTAACACCAAAGGCATCGCCAGCGAGTCTACTGTATGCTCATGTCCATGTGTAAGATTGATGCTAATGGTTAGTGCATGTGTTTGTGTGTTAATGGCTAGCACCAGTGGGTGTTTAAGTCAATCATTACCTTCGTTAAGTGTGTCCGGGGATGTTTTTTAGACTCTGTCAGTCACATTAGTTTTGTCAGATCACATGTCTCAATGCTTTGATTATATGACTAAGCATGCATGCATATGTTTGTAAGTGTCTGTGTGTTTGTTTGTCTATGTGTGATCTTCTGAACAGTTTGTGTGTCTTCTCATTTGCCTTGTTGTTTTCATGTAGGTGCAAGTCTGCTTCATTAAACTGATGTGTTTAATGATCAATTGGCCACAGCGCTGACTGACCGGAACGCCTGCTGTCTTTCTAGGCTCGGTGTCTTGTTGTTCTAGTCTGGGGTTTGTGTGTGCGATAGCAGGACATGGCGTTTAACTCCACCACCAAATTTTTCGCTCTTTCCCAGTCTTTCAGCGTGTCCGATATCATTGTGATCGGAGCGTATTTTTTATTGAACGTCGCAGTTGGAATATGGGTGAGGCTTATTTGCTTACATCTGCACACAGTGTAAAAATCAATACTAATTTAGAGGATTAAAATAGGTTAATCATGTTTCAACTTTTATTTAAAGTCAAATTAGCTGTGTAAGTCTGTATAAATGTTATGTGTGGAAATTAAGGCAACTAGTGATTATTTGCTTGAGTTAGTTGTGTAAAATAATACTTTATTAATAATCTTTTGAGTTGTTTATACGCTTTTTAGAATTATGTGGATGTAAATTAGAAGTTAGAGTGGGAAATGTAATCCTTTCTGAAAAAATAAGTGTATGTATGTATGTGTGTGTGTGTGTGTGTGTGTGTGTGTGTTTTAGTCATCCTGCAGAGTGAGCCGAAACACACTCAGTGGATATTTTCTGGCCGGTAGAGACATGGCTTGGTGGCCGGTAAGTTATTATTAATGTAAACCGATGCAATTTACATTCAGTTGCCTATACGGCCTTTTGATGAACAAATATGATTTAACTTTATTTTAATTTTTAAGCCTAATAATTAAGATTGAATCTGTTAGAATTAAGCATTTTCATGTACTGTATAAATTGCTTTGCATACTGACAAATGTGTGAACGGTTAAAAAACTAAAAATATAAATAAAGAAATATTTTCTTCATTTATTTTATTCAAATGTAATTTAAAATAAAATAGAAGTTGTCTATGAAATCCCATAGTTGTTCATAATCTGGAATACAAAATTCAAAGATAATTTAAAATAAATGATAACTATTTCTAATTGATGCATAATTACTAAGATTGTGTCTTATGATGCAACTGCTGTAGGATTTTTACCATGTGAACTCTTAAAACAAAAGGTAAAATTGATCGTTTCCTCTGAACCCAAGATTTGATTGAACGTCTTAATTCATTTATTGATAAATAAATTTTAGAAGAAAAAAGTTTTTTTTTTTCTTCTCAAAATATCATATGAAGAGTTCAGATGCAAAAACCTTTAAGTGCCGTCTGAAATTTCCCTCTAAAATCTTTTCTCAGCCTCCTATGTTTATTTTCAGTTATGTCACTTTAAAGGCAACGGAAACAACCTACTTATTGCACTGAAACTAAACACAACAGCCTGGGAAAAATGCTAATTTAATTGAAAATTTCAGATGGCACTTAGAGGTTTTTGCATCTAAATTCTTCATATTTAATTTAATTTGTTACTTGTCATTTCTTTGCCATATGATATTCAACGGCAATTTTTTTTTTTTGTCAATTTTGCTTATACAAACAAACAATTATGACACTAAATTATGAATCATACTGACATCAGCACAATTCATCAGTTAATTAGTATAAGAACTGTTATATGAACTATTTAATATATATATATATATATATAATATATATATAATATATATAATATTAAATATATATCTAATAAACACTACATGTATATACATAGTGCTCTGGATAAATGATTTTTTTAAAATGAATATTTTATGTAGAATACTTTACAATAATATATTTGTGTATATACTCTACCGGTCAAAAGTTTGGGGTAAGTTTTTTTTTTTTTTTTAAGAAAATTATTCTGTTCATTAAGAATAATTTTTAATGTTTTTTTAAGAAAATCATTCTGTTCAATCATTCATTTATTAAATGTAGAAAAAATGGTTAAATATTTATTACAATTTTAAATAACTTTTTTTGTCGTATGTAGTTTTAAATTAAATTATTAGTCTAGTCATTATTGCTTTTATTACCATTACCATTAATAATAACAACAACAACAACAACAACAATAATTAATATTAGACTGATTTCTGAATGCTCATGTGACTCTGAAGACTGCAGTTAAAAAGCTAAAAATTCATCATTAAAAAAAAAAAAAAAAAAAAAAAAAAAAAACTTGACATCGCAGTCCAAAGATTAGAACACCCAAATCAGTTGGGGGAAAATATTAACAACAATTTTAATAAACAGGACAAATCAAGACAAACATAAAAACAAATACTGATAATAAACCTTTTTTTAGCAATAGCTTGTGTGAATTTAAATACCTATATATTCCTATAGATGTTAGGTGGCCAAACTTACTTTAATAGATACAACTGTTTAATGAAGCTGTTTCGTTTAAAATTCACCAAAATTTATTGTCTATATTCACTGAGAAGTAGATGAAGATATTCGTTTACAAAAGCAGATGTACTCATGCATGCTGAGCAACGTACCTATATTTAAACTGGCACAGGTCTGAAGTATTGATTTACAGTATTTGGCATGCTTAAAGATGAAAAAAATATATCTAACCATATTTAAACATTTTATTTTCACAAAAGCTAACTCCCATAGAATATGTTTCTATGTGCATAAAAACTTTTGCAAATGTAATTTGACAGACAGCAAAATATCTTTAAAAAAAGGAAGTCATATAATCAGATTACAGTTTTAATCACGTTTTTTCAGTTTATTAATTTATATGTACTTATTTCTACATTTAAATCCTGTGCTCTCAATTTAAACTAATTCACAAAGCAAATGAGCTCAAACCAATATAAAAATACATATAAATATTATCCACACAAGACATGCATATAAATAAATAATATTATAATTTAAATATAAAAATATATCTGTCATAAACCAGCTGCAGAAACTATAAATAGGTTGTAAATAGCAGAAGAGTTGTAAATCCTCTTGTTTTATGTGTGGGTCTGAACTGTGTGTGCAGATCGGCGCGTCTCTGTTCGCCAGCAGCGAGGGCTCCGGGCTCTTCATCGGTCTGGCGGGGACCGGAGCCGCGGGAGGAATCGCTGTGGCCGGATTTGAATGGAATGTGAGTGACATCATTTTCAAAAGCTATTCCTAAATATCTCATAGACTTATTTTTTATTCAACATTACAATATGAGCATGAATAAAACAAAAATGCACTTTCATTTGCTGACCACTAGAGGAGGCAAAAGGACCAGATTCTGTTTTGAAAAGGAGCTTATGCGTGATATAAATGTCTGTCAAAAAACATTAAATTAAATCATGAATGCAAATTTGATAAACTACATATACAGGACAAAAACATAGTGCTTAGTTAACAAGTGCTTATTTTGTTTTTTAAAACTAACAGCCTATACTTAAAAACATCATTACAAAATTTTTGCCGTTATTTTAGTAAGTTTAAAGAGATAGTTCAGCCAAAACAATGAACCAAAACAATGAACAAGTGATAATTCTAGCATCATTTGCTCTCACTTTCCTTAACATAAGAAGTTATTATGGAAAATGCTGGATGCCTGTAACCCTTGAGACTTCAGTAGTATTTGTTTTTGGAAGTCAGGGGTTACAGGCTTCCAACATCCTTCAAAATATCTTCTTTTGTGTTCACCAGAAGCAAATAAAGGTTTGGAAGTACTTGAGGGAGAGTAAATCATTAGTAGGTTTCTGTTTTGGGGTGAACTATCCCTTTAAAGTGTTATTGTAGTTTAATTTAGCATTTAAAATGTTTTATTGTTCATGAAGTTTCAATTTTTATTTTCTTGTATATAAATGTGTCTGTTCAAAAACTATAAATTAATTAAAAGTAAATAAAAAAATAAAAAATCTGTAAATCTTGCCCATATATATATTCCGTTGAAGTGAGAATTAATAGCCCCCCTGAATTATTAGCCCCCTTGTTTAAATTTTCCCTAATTTCTGTTTAACGGAGAGCAGATTTGTTCCACACATTTCTAATCATAATAGTTTCAATAACTCATTTCTAATAACTGATTTATTTTATCTTTGCCATGATGACAGTAAATAACATTTTACTATATATTTTTCAAGACACTTCTATACAGCTTAAAGTGACATTTAAAGGTTTAACTAGGTCAATTAGGTTAACTAGGCAGGTTAAGGTAATTAGGCAAGTTACAGTATAACAATGGTTTGTTCTGTAGACTAACGAAAAATGAATAGCCTAAAGGGGCTAATAATTTTGTCCTTAAAATGGCTTTTAAAAAAATTATAACTGCTTTTATTCTAGCCGAAATAAAACAAATCAGACTTTCTTCAGAAGAAAAAACATTATCAGACATACTGTGAAAATTTCCCTGCTTTAAGGAAAAATTAATTCAAAGGGGGGCGAATAATTCTCACTTCAACTGTATATATATATATATATATATATATATATATATATATATATATATATATATATATATATATATATATATATATATATATATATATATATATATATGTATACATGGGCATACATACAGTATATAAGTATATATGGGCAGAGAGGTTATGTATGTATGTATGCATTTACTAAATACTGATTTCAGTTGTTGTTGTTTTTCTCTGTTAGGCAACTTATGCCTTGCTGGCTCTTGCCTGGGTCTTTGTCCCAGTTTATGTGTCCTCTGGGGTAAGATATTGACAAACACAAATCACTTCTCGAACTGATGTGCAGTGTGCGTGCGTGTGTGTATGTGCGTGCGTAAGTGTGTCAATTAAAGCAAGACGTTGCAGGACATTGTTAAAGCAAGACATCAGTTTTAAGATTTTGGCCATTTTTAAAGGTTTCTTCTGTTTACAATCTAATGTAAAGGAAACACCCAATATTCAGTGTTTTCTCCTGTTACATTATCAATTTGCTTCTATAGACTTCAGAAAAAGTCAATAGCTTTTTCTTTGTTTTTAAAGAACTGTTTTGTTAAAGAAAAAGTCTAGTATACAGCTGTATTTAGCTTGTTTTAAAACATTTAAAACTTGTGGCTAAGAAATAATTATTGTTAGATTTGGTCAGAGATAAATTTGGTCAAATCCTTAATTTTGAGTAAAATATGTAAAACGTCAAATAAAAACTAATTGCAATATAGCACTATGAAAGTATGACCCATTTGCTCATATACGACACACAAAAAGTGAAATGAAAGAGGAGGCATGTGGACATAACACAACATCTGAACTAGGTATTTTCAACCTGATCTCAAGAGAAAACTTAAGTATTTTACGTTTTGGCAGTTTAGTGGCTAATTCGTACGAATTCGTACGAGTTCAGTCGTAAGAAAATGTACGATTTTAAAAAGGAGGCGTGGCACCTAACCCCACCCCTAAACCCAACCGTCATTGGGGAATACGCAAATCGTACTAAAATGTACGAATTAGATCGTACGAATTTGTACAAATTAGCCACTAAATGAAAAAGTTACGAATTGCCGTGAGATTGTGTTGGTATTTTAGCATGTCAAAGTCAGATTCATGCAAATAAAAAATATTTCACAACAACAAAATTGTGGCTTGTAAAAATGCAGAGTGGCTAGTAACGTTGGAAAACTACTAGCTACTGTGGCTTTTGATCAAAAAAAGTTAGTGTCAAGCCCTGGGTATAACATTTGTAATATTCAATAATTTCGGATGGACAGTATGCACACTGACGCGCAGGCACTATTATGTTATCAGACACCCATATAAGTTACTTTAAAATTCATTCATTCATTCATTCATTTTCTTGTCGGCTTAAGCCTGGTTTATACTTCTGCGTCATGTGACCGGCGTAACTCACGGCGCAGGCAACGCGCGTGGCTGTGCATTTATACTTCTGCGCGCTGTCTCTGCCGGTCTGCATTAACACTTCCGAAACGCTAGTTGGCAGTGAGGTGTAAATGTTCCTCTGTGTCGAGTTTCTTCGCTACTTTTTTGCATTTCCTGAACACTTCCGGGATGTACAAGTGGCTCAAACTCGCTCATTTTGAGGCAGGAACCGGCGGACGTGCAACAACTTTAACTATGAGGTAAACACAAAACAAAACTTTCCATCCGGAGCTCCTTCACGGGACTCCACACTAGTAAACAATCGCTCGCGCGGCGTCGCGCCATTCGCGCGCCTCTCGGTCCCGCCCAGACTCGTCAGCGCTACCAAGCCGACCAATCACAGAGCTTATGCTACGCGTCGTTGCGACGTGTAGTTACATTTTTTGAGAGGTGCACGTCAGTGACGGCGATGGCCACGGCGAAGGGCTATGCGTCAGCGCCGTAGCATACGCCGACGTTTGACGCAGAAGTATAAATCAGGCTTAAGTCCCTTTATTAATTCAGGGTCGCTACAGCGGAATAAACCGCCAGCTTATAAAGCAAGTTTTTACGCAGCGGATGCCCTTCCAGCCGCAACCCATCTCTGGGAAACACACACACACTACGGACAATTTAGTCTACCCAATTCACCTGTACCTCATGTCTGTGGACTGTGGGGGAAACCAGAGCACCCGGAGGAAACCCACTCGAACGCAGGAAGAACATGCAAACTCCACACAGAAACGCCAACTGAGCCGAGGTTCAAACCAGCGACCCAGCAACCTTCTTGCTGTGAGGTGACAGCACTACCTACTGCGCCACTGTATCGCCTACTTTAAAATTACATACTTAAAAGTGCGTTGCTTCACTTACAATAATACAAGTTTCTGACATGAGTGTCTTGTTATCATATTAAATGTACTTTCTTTGCTGATTTTATTCAACAAAACTAGCATAAGCCTAGACTTTAGCATAAGTTGGTGCTAACCTTGCCTTATGATCAGTGCAGTGAGAGATTGTATTACACTCTAAAAAATCCGGGGTTATTTTTTCTACCAAAATGAGAGGTTAAGGCATTTGGGTAATTTTATGGGGGTTATTTTCACAGTCTTGGGGTAGTTTTTGGGTAGTGCTATGTAACCCAAACTTGGGTTATTTTCTGGGTAATAATTGCTAAGAGTTTAATCAATGCAAACCTAGCACCACACAGACACATCAACCCAGCTTCTTGGGTCAAATCAACTCACAGCTGGGGCTGACTAGGATACCACATATATGATCAATACTTGTTTAGCACAAAAGTTTGTAACCTACAAAAACTTAAAAACAAAACATTAACTATGAAATGTTCTGCCTTTATGCTTTGTTTTCTTGTTACTACACTTGTATATGCAGCGCAAAAGTCCAGCATCTTCATATTGGCTTTAGTCTAGTGCGGTTGAGTGACATTTGTTCTGGGAGCACTGTACAAATGTGGCGGCGGTATTTACGCATGCTCAGGGTCCGTATGCGATATCTAGTGTATATATCTATGAAAGGTGAGTATATAGTTAGTAAATCTTAATTTTCGGGTGAAATATCCCTTTAAATATGTTGTTTTGGATAAATTCTAATACAAATAAGTTTCCAATTCTTAATGCAGTCAATCAACTAGGGAAGTATGGTGATGAATATTACAGTAGGTATAGTTTTTTACCCTGTTGTCCCTCAGTGTCTTGCATTAATAAATGAGAACTTATGTCTCCACATGTCCTACATACAGTAGACTCGCAGTCTCTTTCTCCCACATGCAGACTCACCACAGATTTGCCTTTTCATTTGCTTAGATCGTGCCTTTCTCTTCTATCTGTCTATCTGACTGTCTCTCTGTCTCTCAGATTGTCACAATGCCAGAGTATCTGGGTCGGCGGTTTGGAGGAGAGAGAATTCGCATGTACTTGTCAGCTCTCAGTCTGCTGCTGTCTGTGTTTACCAAGATCTCGGTGAGCACAAAAACACACACATACATGCACACATCCACACACTCCCGTTTTTGGCCTCTCATTCACACATTCTCCCCCCACAAAGCTTAAAAACATGAGTCTAGTCCTGTATCGCAGTGCTGGCGTGTTTCCGAACTGAAGGAATTTAAAAGTTGTGAAACAGATTATAGTTTTAGCTCTGTTTCAACATCTGTTTTCCATAAAAACACTCACACGCAAGTGCTCATGCTGGCTTGCTGGCTTGCTAATAAACCATTAATGCTTGCTATTAAATATTGGCAGATAAAAAGCATTATTGTTCATGAGAGTGACGAGTGGTGTGAGTGCTAAAACTACTGTTTAACAGTTGAGGATTTTAATTTAGGACACTATTACTTTAGAGCAAAAATGGCAGATTGAGCAAATCAAAAATAACAGAAATACATTAAGTTGAATAAAATGAATGTTATTCTTTTAAGCATTGGACGATTCATGGAAAAGGAATAAATTATGGACGTGACGTTGGAGCATGACGTCATTAAACAGTGATAGCGCAAAAAAAAAAGAAGAAGATTCACAATTATCTCTTCTGTTACGTTTTTTGGCTGACTTGAAATCGCTTTGCTTCTGTCTACTGCTATCCTGGAGTGCATTTCTCAAACAACAACATAACTCATGGCTGAAATATCCAACGCAATCTCACGGCAATTCGTAACTTTTTAGTGGCTAATTCGTATGAATTTGTACAATCTAATTCGTACGATTTGCTCATCCCCCAATGACGGTTGGGTTTAGGGCTGGGATTAGGTGCCACGCCACCTTTTTAAAATCGTACAATTTCGTACGACTGAACTCATACGAATTCATACGAATTAGCCACTAAACTGGCAAAAGGTAAGATACTTACGTTTTCTCGTGAGATCAGGCTGGAACTATCTTAGTATGATGCATCGTGTGGGGAAAGAACGATGTAGTCAGAAGTTTTTCCCAAACCCGTAGTTTCTCTGTCAAATACCCATAATGAAGCTCTTAACGGGTGGAGTAATTACTTCTTTAGAAAAAAAACATAATTTTCTGTGCAAGTTATATTGTTTTATACACACTTAAAATAAAATTCAATAGTAGTTTTGGTAAAAACGTGCACTCGCTTTCCATATTAATTGAAATACATGTAAACGACACATATAGGACCTATATATATTTCCTTTACAAATACGTTTTTCTGATGAGACGTTAAACCAAGGTCCCAACTCTCTGTGGTCCTTAAAAATCCCAGGATGTCCTTCGAAAAAGAGTAGTGGTTTAACCCCGGCATCCAGGCCAAATCTGCCCTCTGGCCTCTGTCCATCATGGCTTCCTGACCATCCCCATATCATAACTGGCTTCATCACTCTCTCTCCTCTCCACCAATCAGCTTGTATGTGGTGTGCGGTCTGGCACAAAATGGCTGCTGTCGCGTCATCCAGGTGGATGCTGCACACTGGTGGTGAATGAGGAGAATCCCCCCATTGTGTAAAGCGCATTGAGTACCCAGAAAAGCGCTATACAAATGTAAGGAATTTATTATTATTATTAAATATTATTAAGAACATTCAAAATAAAATTACTTAGCTAACACGTATTCTAAGCTCATACATAAATCATATCAATCTTTAATGGTTGCAGGCCTAAATTACAGTAGGCTATCTATTAAGAAATGAAAAAAATCCTACTTAATAATAATAATAATAATAATAATAATAATTATTATTATTATTATTATTATTATTATTATTATTATTATTATTATTATTATTATTATTATTATCATCAAATAGGATATTGTTTATTTTTTATTTTTTAAAGGTCTACTTTTACAATTTGACACATTCAAACCACTGCAAAAATGTTCTAACCAACACGCCCGTGTCATATACAGGCACGTGTCAGATACATTTCATAATAAATAACCTACTATAAATTAAAAAGTATTAACCTATGCTATTTTTTTTTTCACAAGCTTTGGAGACATAACATATATTCCGCTTTTAAATAATAGGTCACCTACAGCTTTCGTCATGAGCCACGGCTGTGTTCAAAATGATATCAATGTTTTCAAAGTGCACTGTGGAGGGAATGCAATTGTCAATATGAAGATCATTAAAACTGAACTGTAAAAATATTTGAAAGCAAATTACACCTAAAAGAGCTGACTTTAATGCTTTTTTAAAAATCATTCCAAGTTTAAATGTTAGAACTTTCTAAATGAATAGGGCATACGGGGGATAACTGAGAATAAAACACAACCAGAAACTATGTTTCTAACTACAGCTCTAGAGGTGTAATTGCAAGCGTACAAGTTTGCAACGCAGTTTGTGAATGTTTGTTGGAATGATGGAATTTGGTAACGCCAAATCAATTAACTGTGTTTGTTACGAAGCAACTTGCAAACTTAGTTGGCTAACGATGGAAACAAACCCCAGATCCATTCGCACAGTTTCATCTTCTCAATATCCCTCTTGATCAGGCTCATTGTCAGAGTTACTCATGGTTTTAAAAGATAAAAAAAAATTGCTTGACTGCCACTTTGCCATTTTTAAAATACAAATATTACTTAGGTAGACCACGATGCAATTATTTATATATCACTAATTAATGAGAGTGATTGTAAAATGTAAGAAAGCTGATTGGTTGAAAGCATTGTTAAGGGCCATTAGTCAAATCTGCCTTCTGCTTTAACTTGTGCATGGTGATACCCTCTTTGCTTCCTTTCATTAATATCTCTCACAAACACATACACACACACACACACACAAACACACACACACGCATGCACGCACGCGCTCGCTCAGAGAGAGATATTCAATGGGCACAAGTTAATTAAAATAAAATAAATACCGAAATGCAAAACACTAATATCTGACATTTTCTGGAACAGGATCTGGCTAGATCCGGCTACAAGGATACCAAAAATTATCTTTGGCCATTTTACTCTAAATCAAGAACTGTAGAAAAGTTGAAAAAAGTAGAAAACCTGGTGGAAGATGAAATAAAAGTATCGTATTATTCCATACAGACAACATCTGAGCAGCTATCCAATACTGTAACAACTGGCATTAACTGTGTGTGGTTTGCAGACGGATCTGTACTCTGGAGCCCTGTTTGTCCAGGTGTGTTTGGGCTGGAATCTCTACCTCTCCACTGTGCTCATGCTGGTCGTCACTGCCCTCTACACTATTGCAGGTTTGTGATTGCATTTAAGTACTTTTGCATACACCCTGACAACCCCCTAACAACACCTTAGCAACTGCCTGGAAACCCCTCACCATACCCTAGCAACCACCTAGCAACACCCTAGTAACTTCCTAGCAATGAAATAGCAACACTTTAGCAATTGTATGGCAGCCACTCAGAACACCCTGTCAACCACCTAGCAACACCTAGCAACCACTCAAGACTCCCTAGCAACTAGCTAGCAACCACTCAGAACACCCTAACAACCACCTTAGGTACTGCCTAGCAACCACTTTGGACTCCCTAGCAACACCTTAGCAACTGTCTACCATACCATGTAAAACACCTTAGCAATCACCTAACAACACCCTAGCAACTGTCTTGCAACCACTCTGAACCCTTAACAACCACCTAGCAACCACTCAGAACACACTAGCAACCACCTGGCAACACTTTAGCAATTGCCTAGCAACTACTTAGGACTCCCCAGCAACTACCTAGCAACACCTTAGCAGCTGCCTACTAACCACTCAGAACACCTTAGCAACACCTTAGCAACTGTCTTGCAACCACTCGGAACCCTCAACAACCACATAGCAACCAATAAACCAATTTTCCCCTATTTATTTTTACTGGAGTTATTTGAAACACTCGATTTAGCTTCTATTCATTTCATTCATTTTCCTTCGGCTTAGTCCCTTTATTTATCTGGGGTCGTCACAGTGGTATGAACCGCCAACTTATCCAGCATTTTTTTTATGCAGCGGATGCCCTTCCAGCTACAACCCAACACTGGGAAACACCCATACACTCTCAATCACACACATACACTATAAACAATCTAGTTTATTTAATTCACCTATAGTGCATGTCTTTGGACTGTGGGGGAAACAGGAGCACTTGAAGGAAACACATGCTAATATAGAGACAACATGCAAACTCCACACAGAAATGCCAACGGATCCAGTCGGGACTTGAACCAGCGACCTTCTTGCTGCAAGGCGACAGTACTAACCACTGAGTCACCGTGACACCCTGACATGCTTTCTATTTATTCATTCATTCATTTTCGGCTTAGTCCTTTTATTAATCTGGGGTCGCCACAGCGGAATGAACCGCCAACTTATCCAGCATATGTTTCCAGCTGCAACCCATCTCGGGAAAACATCCATGCACACTCACTCACACACACACTACGGACAATTTTGCCTACCCAATTCACCTGTACCGCATGTCTTTGGACTGTGGGAGAAACCCCATGCGCAGGCAGGTAGAACATGCAAACTCCACACAGAAACGCCAACTGAGCCAGCTCAAACCAGCGACCTTCTTTCTGTGAGGCGACAGCACTACCTACTGCGCCACGGCGTCGCCACTTTCTATTTAAATAAAATTTATTTGTTGAAGACACCAAAATCAGACGTCTCATCTTTGACTCAAATGGATTAGGTAATCAAGTTGTAAAAATAAACATGTGTTAATGTTTTCTGCTAACACATGAATCAAGGATGAGCAATTATTGGAACACAGCACGTTCATAATTCATCCTTCTAATTGTAAAGTATGACTACACATTTCAGCATTGAGCAGTTTTATAATTAGCATTTCCACGACTCCTTTTCTCGACAAGAAAAAACTACAAGAATAATCTTGTAGAACAGCTTTTTACGTCACACCGCACTGCACACACAGATTTACAGCCAAGCGAGCAGATGTGATATTCTCTGTAAACATGGATGGAGTGGAATACTGGTTAAAGCTTATGGTTTGCATCAAGAATGTTGTTCGTTTGGTTACTGCAAAGTGCAAATTACAAACTAAGAGTCCTCAATCAAGCTCCTTAACCACAAGTTTGAGTGCTACTGTAAATTGTTTTGGATGAAAGCTTCTAACTGTTTGAACTCTCCCGGTGAAGTCCAGAGGTTCAGTAAGAGTTAATTTCTCCAGCAGTAATTATAGTCTACATGACTGATTCCAGCATAATTGCATAATTACATTAATCCGCCGCTCTGCTGTCACCGTATTCACTCCTCTGTCTACAAGTGCTGATTCAGACTTGACCCTGATGACTCAGATCACATTAAACCATCAAGAGAGAATTGAGCAAGAACCTTTCAGTCCTGTGTTTCTGCAGGTGGCTTGGCTGCTGTAATCTACACCGACACTCTTCAGACCTTCATCATGATCATCGGAGCTGTCATCCTCACCATCACGGGTTAGTCAGTCTCCGGCCACTTCTTTTATTCTGAACCGGCAGTGATCTAACATCAGCTGACACTATAGGGAAGAGAGAACGTTGAGAAAGTGGCAATGGCAATGTAGAAGGCCAGCTGTGAGTTTGACATATGTGACCCTGGACCACAAAAGCAGTCTTATGCTGTATGGGTATATGCTTTTATGCCAAAAAATCATTAGAATTTTAGGTGAAGATCATGCTCCATGAAGATACTTGGTACATATAAACGCAAATATCAGCAATCTACTTTTGATTAGTAATGTGCAATGCTATCAGTGATGGAAAGAATACTAAAAAAAAGTCCCATTACTTGCCTAAAAATGTAGTGCAAATAGAGTGAAAGTATCTGTTGATACTAAAAAAATACTCAAATTATGATTAAAAAACTAGACCTTTTAAGGAGTATTACACTGTAATACAAATTAATTTGTGGATGTGTCTAAACGTAACATTCTGTAGTGCATTTAGTTGTTGTACACAACATCATAAGACGTTAATGTTAGGTTAGATTTTTAGGTTGTGATGTCAGGTGACCAAAATTCAATGTCTAGGCAATGTCTAAAGACAATGTTATTTGGATGTCCAATAACGACATCAAATGACATTCATGTTTGGTTGATTTTAGGTTGTGTGGGAAGTGACCAAAATCCAACATTGAGCCAACATCTTAAACCAACATCATATTGACATCAAATACTGACATTTATTGGTCAGTTATAGCAACCAAAATCCAACATCTGATAGATGTCATAATGGTAACCTCCACACAACCTCAAGCTGTAACATCATCAGATGTTGATATTCGATTGGTTTTAGGTTGGACATTGAGGTTGGCCTGACATTGGGTTCTGATGTTAACCCGATTTTCATTTCCAAACAAAATGCAATGTCCCCACAACGTTAGGGTACAACGTTAATCTGACACCATGTTGACTTCTTGTGTCTGCTGGGTGTTTCGGTCATCATACAGCAAACATTAAATTAATTGTTCATTAATGTTCATTATTTACCTTCTATGTGCGATTTGATTGGACAGGAATGACAGGACTGATTATCATAATCCCCATAGACAAGAAATAAAGTAGTGACTGCAGGTTGAAGGAAAGTAGTGAAGCAAAAGTACATATACTGCACTAAAAATCTACTCTAGGTAAAGTAAAAGTACACATCTTTAAAACTACTTAGTAAATTACAATTCCTGAGAAAAGCTACTCAATCACAGTAGTTTGAGTACTTGTAATTTGTTTCTTTACACCACTGCTTGCTTTGCACTTAATGTAGGTGTTTTACTCAGTATTCAGCTTTTTTTTTAACCCTCAGATTCCAGAATATCAAATAGGCAAACATCGTCTATCACCAACTATAAACCAATGGAAAGCTTATTTATTACATTTTCAGGTGATTTTTAAAAAAAGACACTTATGACTATGATTCTGTGGGTCACATATGTCGATTTCACGTACACATTTTGTCAAATTAAAAGTCAAATTAAAGGAAAAAAGGGAGAAAGTCTTACGTTTTCTTACCTCATGGTCTATTGCTGCTACTGTATAGGTCACAGTTGTCAAACTCAGTTTCAGGAGGGCCACAACTCTGCACAATTTAGTCCCAACCACACCTGATCAAACAAGCCTAAAGGACTTAATTAGTTTGATCAGTTGTTTTTAATTAGGAAATCGTGCACCTATATGAAGTGCATCTGATGCTGCGGTCACACGAGCTTGAGCTTGTGAAATTCTGTCATATGGCGCTGTAAAAAGGGCAGGATTAAACATGACGATTAGACATAAAAAAGTGAGCGATTGGTCCATATTTGACATTTCTTTCCAGAGAGGTCATGTTTTGATTTTCGATTGGTCTCACAGAATCACAATGCGATTTCACAGGTCAGAGTTCACCAAGCTTGAACTTTTCAATGGAGCGAACTGCGAAACTTGTCGCAGCTTCCATTTCCAGTCTGACGCATTCGCATGCATAAAAATGCAAGTCTATTGAGGCGAAAAGTGCAGTGTGACAGAGGCTTTAAGCCAGCAGTGCTCAACCCTGTTCCTAGAGATCTACCTTCCTGCAGATTTCAGCTCCAATCCTGATCAAACACACCTGAACCAAATGATTAGGACCTGAACAGCAGTTGATAATTACAGGCAGCTGTGTTTGATATGTTGATAGGTTGCAACTAAAATCTGCAGGAAGGTAGATCTCCAGCAACAGGGTTGTTTAACCCTACTTTAAGCCAATCAAAAATGACCTCTCTGGACAGAAATTTGTAATTTGATAAATGTGTAATCATCTTGTTTAATCCCCCCTCTTTTCACAGCACCGTACGACAGAATTTCGTACACAAACTCTAGTGTGACCACGGCATAAGGGTGTTAAAGCAGGGCTGGAACTGAAGCTGGAGCTGCGGCCCTACAGGAACTGAGTTTGACACCCCTGGTATTAGCAAAACATATTATATACAATAAAAATGTCAGTCAATCAATCAATCAATCCAGGTGTTGAGCTGATTACATAAATAAAGATGGAATTTAGCATCATGCCGTCAAATTTCAAAATGTAGTATACAAAAAAAACGCAAGTCCTTTTTTGTTTTGTTTTTGCAAAAAAGGTCTGGAGATGATCTGAGGTAAATTTGGTGAACATTGGACAGCCTGGGCAAGCAGTTAACACAAATTAGGATTTCAAACAAAATGAAAGACCAAAAGTTGATTTGATAATGGTGTAATTACCATCAATGTTCTTGGCATGATCCAAGGAACCTGTCAAGACCAGCCAAGCTATAATGAAAAAGCTATTACAATATTTCATTTCAATTTCTTTATAATTTTTGACCACAAATTGGCCAAAAAATGTTGGGTTTAATTCCCTTCAGGGCATAATGCTGAATAAACTAAGTTGCTGTTTAATATGCTAATGTAAAACATACATCATACCAAAGTTCTAAATGGTTACCATATGAACAATTTAACTTCCTACAGTGCTCTGAATGAGTTTTTTGCTTGTTAGTTTTGTTTTGGAAGATCGAATTAATTGTTAATTGGGCTGTCGCAAACGAAAGTGAAGAGCGAGTTGGTGGGGTTGGGGGGTTTTGGTCATAGTGTCATAGGCGGAGGGGAGGATGGAGCGATGTCGTAAACAAAAGAGCCACGGGTGGCGGGCGAGGTGTGTGGGTTTCCAAACCCTTTATAGTAGGGCTGCACGATATTGGAAAACCTGACATTGAGATTTTTTGTTTTGACGCTGTATATACAGTTGAAGTCAGAATCATTAGCGCCCCTGAATTATTAGACCCCCTGTTTAATTTTCCCCAATTTCTGTTTAACGGAGATAAGATTTTTTTTTACACACATTTTTTCAACACATTTCTAAGCATAATTGTTTTATTAACTCATTTCTAATAACTGATTTACTTTATCTTTGCCATGATGACAGTAAATAATATTTGACTATATATTTTTCAAGACACTTCTAAACAGCTTAAAGTGACATTTAAATGAGAAAGTCTTTTGTTTTATTTCGGCTAAAATAAAAGCAGTTTTTAATTTTTAAAAACCATTTTAAGTTCAATATTACTAGCCCCTTTAAGCTATACGTTTTTTTTTTTTTTTTTTCGAAACCATCGTTATACAATAACTTGCCTAATTAACCTAGTAAAGCCTTTAAATGTCACTTTAACCTGAATACTAGTGTCTTGAAAAATATCTAGTCATATATTATGAGAATATTTTAAGAAATTTGGTGTTAAAACTATTGTGTTAATAAATGTGTTGAAACACCACTCCGTTACACAGAATTGGGGGTGGAATAAACAGGGATAATAATTCTGACTTCAACTATATTTACTGTATATATATATTGAGATACGAAAAATTTTACTAACTTAGATCTACATAATTATGGTAATAATAGTAAAAAATAAATAGTGCTTTATGGTTTTCTGAAGAGTCTAACAGTAATCAAGTAGAGAACTTAAACAATTCAGTTTAAAATAACATGTTCATCATTGTGTGTGTATATATATATATATATATATATATATATATATATATATATATATATATATATATATAATCTTTAATAAACAAATCTAATCCTGTGACGCATAAACACATTGAGATATCAATGCTCAAAAGATTTAAACTCACCAGCCACTTTATTAGGTACATCTGTCCAACTGCTCGACATGGTCAAGACGATCTGCTGCAGTTCAAACTGAGCATCAGAATGGTGAAGAAGGGTGATTTCTTTGAACGTGGCATGGTTGTTGGTGCCAGACAGGCTGGTCTGAGTATTTCATAAACTGCTGATGTACTGGGATTATCATGCACAACCATCTCTAGGGTTTACAGAGAATGGTCCAAAAAAAAAAAAAAAAAAAGCATCCAGTGAGCGGCAGATTTGTGGGCACAAATGTCTTGTCGCCACCAGAGGTGAGAGGAGAATGGCCAGACTGGTTTAAGCTGATAGAAAGGCAACAGTAACTCAAATAACCACTCATTACAGCAGCAACTGTGTGATGCTATCATGTCAATATGGAGCAAAATATCAGAGGAATATGTCCAGTACCTTGTTGAATCTATACACAAAGGATTAAGGCAGTTCTAAAGGCAAAAGGGGGTCCAGCCCAGTACTAGTAAGGTGTACCTAATAAAGTGGCCGGTGTGTGTAGTGTTCAGCCCTAATTTATAGAAAATGATATCCGGTTAGGACACCGTAAAACAATTATAAACCTGCAGAGCTGGTTTGCATAGAGATTTAGAAATGGGGAAAATCCCCTGAAATGCTTTTAGCTACTTACAGAAATTCGCCTATAACTGAAACTGAAATGAACAACACGGAAGCAAACAACACACGAGTCTAAACAAGCTAAAGCAATTTAAATACTTTTTTTAATTGGAACTGATTCAAAATGTACATTCTGTTTTTTGACGCCATGCCATTTTGACGTTAGTACAAAAGAGAAATATTAATGCTAAACTGCTACATTTCACCCAAATCAGTAGTAGATTTAGCTGATGTGCATTTACCTTACAGCATTCAACAAAATTGGAGGCTACAGTAACCTGGAGAGCGTGTATTTGCAAGCCGTGCCGTCCAAGATCATCCCGAACACGACATGTCACCTGCCCAGACATGATGCCATGCACCTGTTCAGAGACCCAGTGCATGGAGATCTTCCCTGGCCAGGCATGACGCTGGGATTAACCATCATTGCAACATGGTACTGGTGCACGGATCAGGTATGTTCAAACACTCTCAAAAATACATAATAAGACTACCCTGGTTCACACAAAGTAAAAAGCCTCACAACGAGGAAATTATTGCAACTGCATGCTGCATTGTCACATTCTGCTATAAGAAATATATAGCAGATTAATATAGAAGAGATAGACGTAAGTGGCTTTACAGGGGGAAAGGGCTACCAAGACTGTATAACTGTCCACAAATGGACTTAAAACAAGGCAGACATTTGCATTAGGATGCAAATAAATAAGAGGCTGTGAGGAATTCGCATCAATTCAAATAGAACTACCCTGACTCCTGCGGCACAAAAAATGTCACCAAAACGATTCAAGTATATCCTCTCCTCAGAATCTGTAGGTATCAGTGTGTGCAGACTAGCATTTTTAAAGCAGAATGGTTGAGATCGTTTAGAAACTGTATTTGTAATTAATCGTAACACTTTCCTTCTTTAAAGTACAGTGCACATCAACTCCTTAAAAAAGGGTTTTACTATATTCAAACCTTTTTATGAGGAGAAAATAATAGTTAAACAAAGATTAGAATAGAAACTATACAACTCCTGGAAATACTGACAAAGTTGGAGTCTCTTCAAGACTCTGTAAATGTGGTCCTTTCTGCTGTGGATCAAAATGTAAGTCTTGGTCAGTCTGTCAGTCAGAAATTAATTAATTCAGCATTGCATGAATAGGTTTCTGTTGTTCAAATAAGCAGGTCTAATGGCTGGATCTTTAAGGGTTTGGTCTTGACTCCAAATCCAAAGCTAGTCCTGGAAGCCTGTTTACACCAGCAAATATTCTAAATGAAACAATTGGTCGGATTTTTACACTCAATTTTTGTTAACGCCAAAATAAAAAGACACCATCCTATTGGCTAAATGATGCTAAAAATGCAGTTTTTATTAGTTGACAATTATGGAAAAACTGTAAAGCCCAAGGCTGTTCCAGGTTTTTTCCAGATTTCCAATCAAAACCTTTTACTGTAATGGCAAATTTGGCCTAATGCAGATTTCGGTCTACTTCTTAAAAGTGGTGAGTAGTAGACAAGCTCAACCCTGGCACCTTACAAACCACAAGAGCTTCACACATCTGCCATAAACTTAAATTCACATGTGGAATATGGTTTTCAAACATTTTCATGTGAAATCCATACATGAAAATCATCCAAAACTGCATTTGATGCGTTTCCCATGCATTCCATATGTGTATTTTAACATGCAAAACGTTTTTTCTCTCTCTTATGAACTTATTTACATCTCTAATTAGGGTCGTACGTTTGTGATTAGGTCAACAAAAACACACCTTAACACTAGGTGTAAACAAGGCCTTAAACAGGCTTTTTCGCAGTACAACGGAAAAGAGATTAGAGCACCTCCCTGTAAACAAAGGATTAGCTGCACTAGCGGCATGCAAAACACATGTCATTCTGAACAAATGTCATTCGTTTAAATGAATTTGTTTAGCGCAACAAATTTGAGCACCAAACGTAAAGCTGAGTGTAAACAGGACTTCATTTGTGACAAAACCGAAGAAAACGTCAGCCTCGGTTTAGTCTTTTGTTTTGACTCTGATTTGTGTGCTGTGCTTTTTAAACAATAACTCGCGGTTAGCTTGTACTGTACCTTAATCTTTTCAACATCCTTTTCCCAGAATCTGAGACAATAATTAGTCAACAACAGAGGTGAATGTGAAATTTCCATCACCATGGTCACAAATCCACCACCAAATTCCAGTCCACATTACTCAATAAAGGCACGTCAGTGAAGAGTAAGTCTGTCTGTAACAAATATCCAGAAAAGTATCAGTGTTTGTTTGCCACTGTAATACTCGTGTCAGTTGGAGATCCAGTTGAACTCCATGTGAAGTGGTGGATAAATAATTGCACATTCGCGCCTTTGTAATCAATACAAAGTTGTTTCTGCTGGGAAGAAGCCACCATAAATCAGTTAATTGTCCTTGTGCCTCTGTGTCAGCAATTTATCCCCCAAAGCAAAACCAGACGTGTTCACTGGAACCTTCGCCTTGAGGTGTTTGAAGCTGGCATATTTAGATAAAGGAATTCCTAATGGCGTACGAGTCTCGACCCGTCTATGAGGAGACAAAGACTTTGTCTGAGAGACCCGACGAGCGGGAGAGAGGGTTTGGGTGTGCATGAGCCTCTGAGCAGGCGTTTGGCTGGTTTGCAGTCTTTCAATCCTACAGCCAGGGTTTTGTCTCCTAGGCGATCGTCCAGAGCGGTGTAGGTTTTGCTGGTCGGATCCATTAGAGGGTGGTTCAGGTGCATACATTTTCCCCTGCCAGTACCTGTGGCCCCCGATCAAGTGATCACTGCTTTTAGGGTGCCTATGAAACCCTCCAGGTTTACCAATCACCAGTTTGGCTCGGCCGTAAGTGTCCCGAACAGGCGACCTAGAGACCGTCTTGTAAAGCTGAAAGGGAGGAAGGTATACATGAGACAGAAACAGGATAAACAGGCATGATATCAAATGTTCTGACAGGAATTGTTCTAATAAATTTCTGTTTAAAAAAATAATGATCATGTTGGTGGATTATTGGCAGGTAATCGTGCAGAGGTCTCTGTCAGCCAAGAGTCTGAGTCATGCCAAAGGAGCGTCCATCTTTGCCAGCTATCTCAAGTTGCTTCCCATGATGTTCATCATCTTACCTGGCATGATCAGCAGGGCACTGTACCCAGGTACTACACACACGCTCCAGCTGCTGTATCCGCTAGTGCTGCAAAAATTCAGTGCTATGTCATCTTTTGTCCAAGCTTTGTTGCCTCTCTAAAGTAATCAGGTCATACCAGATTAAGGTTAAGCCGTTTTTTAATTTGTTAAGTGACTTAACCAAGTTTTTCCAAATTATTAAACAGCATGCACTTATAAAAACAACCTTAAGCCTTGCATCCCAGAAAATACTTTTGGTTTTAATATATACTACCTGACTACCTGTCTTGTTGTCGAACCCAATAGTCTTGTTGTCAACAAATATTAACTTTACTTCTAGTTGATCATTTGGAAAAGTGGCAGAAGGTTGATTTTTTAGATGAATCATCTGTTGAACTGCAGAACTTGAACTTGCAGAAGACCTATTTGAACTCGCATGGACATTAGATTCTCACAGAAATCAGTCAAGTTTGTTGAAGGAAAAATCAGGGTTTGGGGTTACATTCAGTATGGGGGTGTGCAAGAGATCTGCAGAATGGATGGCAACATCAAAAGCCTGAGGTATCAAGACATTTGTGCTGCCCATTACATTACAAACCACAGGAGAGGGCAAATTGCAGTCCAGTGACCAGACATGAACATTATTGAGCATGTCTGGGGTAAGAAGAAGGAGGCATTGAAGATGATTACAAAGAATCTTGATGAACTCTGGGAGTCCTGCAAGAACGCTTTCTTTGCCAGATGACTTTATTAATAAGTGATTTGAGTCATTGCACAGATGTATAGATGCAGTCCTCCAAGCTCATGGGAGTCATACACAATATTCATTTTTTCCACTGCATCAAGACTTTATATTCTATACTGTACATTATTTCTGTTAAGTGACAAGACTTTTGCCTAAGCAAAGTCAGACCTTACTGTTCTAATTAGAGCATTAAAAGTCAAGGCATGATTATATTTTATTTTGGTAACATAAGCATAATCTAGAGGCATTTGCCTTTCATTTAAGCCACCTCTGATACCAAATGATCAACTAGAAGTCAAGTTATCTGTTGTTCCTAAAACTTAGATTGGCAACAAAACTTTCGTCAGGTAGTGTACACCAGCCTTGAAAAAGCATTTTATTGCAAACAGCTGACAAATAATTCAATCCCAAGTAAACAGAAACATTAGGAAGAGATGTGTAAGAACTTATAAAGGTAGAGATGCAGCTATACTATAATGCTGTTTAGAAATTATTTGAATGAACAAAGTAAACTGTGAATTTGAATTACACAATTAAATATCCAATGTTAGGTAATATAAATGGGTCAAAGATCAGATGTCAAATCTAGATATTTATATTCATTCAAAGATATTAAACAAGCAAAGAATCATTTAGTGTTTTAATGGATAGTTGCAAAATATAACAATTTTAAATTTCAATCTATTTGTTTGTTACGGCAGTACTGTGATCCTTAAATCCATTATAGTAATGTGTTGTGTACTAGGGTTGGGCGATGTCGACCAATTTGGCATCGTACAATGTCTTATGTGAAACATCACGATTGACGATGGCATCGTCATCATACTAAAAAGGGGGGGGGGGACTGGTAGAGTGTGCGTTCGACATGTCAGAGGAGCGAGGAGGGATCCGGGGGTGAGAAGAGTGCGCGACTTTGAGGATTAGGAGGGATACGTGAGATTTCAGAGAGATTATCACTCATTTGCTCATCAAACTGTTCGATGTGCACTGCTCTCTGACTGGAGCTCAAAGGAGTTCATGACAGTGTGTGTCTATGTGTGTGTGGTCATGTGATGTGCGTTTTTAGCGGACGGAGGGCCGTGCAGAAATGCTAGGTAAAACGATGTGGATGTAAATAATTTTTGTTCTAAAATGCCATTTTGACACTAAGACGTACAGTATTAGTGTAAACAGGGCCTGAGTGTGTATTTTTCGCGAACGGGTTTACGTTGGGGGCGGGGCGGAGAATCGGCGATGCTGGCTCAGCATCGTGTTGTCTATTGGCCATCGACGATGGACGATGGCATCGTCTATCGGCCCAACTCTACTGTGTACAAGTAATTTTTCCACAATAAAAAAACTATGCTTAAACAAGATGCATTGTAATGTATGAAGACAAATAAAGTAGTTACACCACTGTTTTGATGCTTTAAATCCCTTTATCATCGTTGACCCATTATATTGAGTATATCAGATTGACAAACAATATATTGTCCCTCTAAACAAAAGTTTCACATCCTCAGCTCATGTTGACTACAGACAACTTTTTCAGTGGGGAAATTCCACTAAAGTAAGGATCGGATAAAACCTTACGTCATGTTTTAATCTGATACTACATTTGCATGTCACCCTCCTCCTCCCCACCACCCCCCACATATATGTTTTAACACTTATAGCAGGTTCAGGCGTGCAGGAAATGTCAACAACATCCCGGAACGCACACCGACACACCCTTGCGTTCCATAACACACACGCCTGGCTTCTTTTCATCTATCTGAGACACTCCCAGGTTTATTGGACTGGTAGAGTGGAGAGCCAGATCTGATAAAAATCACTTTCACATTCAGACACGCTAAAATTGACACCTACCTTTGCTTTGTCTCTGCTCTGTGCATTGAGTCGATTTTTCTCAACAGTGCTCCGTAGATCAGGGTCATCTGATCGCAAGTCCAGCATGGATTGAGAGAAGCGGGCCATCACGTTAAGCGCATCAGGGCTGTGGTCTCCAACACGACCAGAACCCGTTATCCTTCCGTTAGGGAGCTTATCGCTGCCATCAGAGTCAGTACATTCATAGTATTCATCAGAGGTTGTGGAATTCTCATCTTTATCCTTTAATGAATGTGCACAGGTTACAGCAGTGCTATCTGCATCGTTGTCTTGAAGGTCCAAGTGTGCATCCTTTGAGCCGATGGTCTGGTTTTCCTCTCGTTTCACTAAAGTGACCTCTGCGTCTCCAGAGCCTTCTGACATATTAACTACTAACTGAAGAGTGCGTGGTTTGGGCACAGGAATTTCTACAGCCTGCTGAACTTCTACTGGTTCAGGATTGGGCTCTGGTTCTTGTGCTGGTGGGTTGGGTTTGGGATCTTGCTGTTGATCTGGAGAGTTTGGCGTCTGAGATGTATTGGCTGGAGTATCTTGATTGGCAATGCTAGAATCAGGCTGAGGCTGAGGAACTGATTGAACATTTGGTTCTACAGCATTTATTTTAGGCAGTTGTGTTGCTTTAGGACGAGGAGTTGCTTTTTCTGGGAGCGGATCCTCGGGTGGCGCCGTAAAAGGGTCTTTAAAGCGGATTGCTTGAGATGTTTCGAACATTTGTGAGCGCATTAAATGCACTTGTGCTGGCTTGCTTGTGTCACGGATATTAATGAACCCAATAACATCACTAGATGGATCTGGTTCTGGCCAGATGGGCAGATAGAGAATAAGATCTGCCTTTGGCAAACCTACAAGTCCTGGGTGCTTTGGTGGTGCTTCCGGCAATTCCCGTTGAGGCTTGGGAAGCTGGACCATAGGATTTGGGGTGTTACTGTTCTTAGCACTGGCTTTGTCAGAAGATGCTTTGCTTGAAGCATCTGCATTGACCAACGCATATTTGGGGTTGATCATTTTTCTTGCAACATTTACGGGAACAGGGGGAGGAACGGCGACTGGAATAGGTTCTGGCTCCGGAGGTTCCGCCATTGGGATCTTGGAGAGGTTGACCCCACGAGAACTCATGTATAATTCACGGAACTGCTTGTCGAATGTCTCAACAGCCTGTCCTGTCAGAACAGTTATGATGTTGCGGTCCAAACGAGAAGCAGTCCATGTAAAACTGAAACATAAAAATGACAATAAATAAATGAATAACATGAGCACCCCTTGAGCACACATTGAATGTCATGATACTTCTGTTTTTCATTAGTGTGACAGTAGCTCACCAACTTTGTTTTGTCTGTTCACACTTCCCTTTTCTTTTTGTATTCTGGCATTTCCTGCCATGTGCCATGCGGTTTATGAGGCTTGTCTTGTGATTTGATTATTGTTTGACTACTCCTTTATATTATTCGGTTTCTAGTTGAATTGTTTTGTTACACCCTTGTAAATGTTTATTCTCTAAATTTGCCTTTGTGTAATGACGGCCCTTCCATCTTCTCCCTCAGGTGTGTGCGTGAGATTGTGGAAGTCTCTAGTTACCAAATTTTAAACCCTTCCTGAGATTGAGGGTTTATTCATTTATGTATTTTTTTATTTGTATTTTTATCAAGGGTCCCACTCTAAGCGAAACATTAAATTCTCTGTCTTTCCCTGACTTTCACTGATTAAAAAGCTAAATTTCCATAACCTATAATTAATGAAAAACAGGCTGCTGTTGTGCTTTGCATAATATTTAAATTGACTTAGCTTGAATATCCTTTTTCAGGACTTCAATAGTCATGTGATGAGAGCAACAGTGGATAATTTACATTCAAGACAACGATGCAGGTACTTCCATTTTGTGTGGCTGAGAAGTGCTCCCCCTCCTATAATTGATAGCTCTAAAGTAGCTTTACAAATTAACATTTCATTTTTCTGTCTTCTGCTTTTTACTACTTGGAATTTGAAGTGGTCCTTATGAAGCCACAGCTCCTATAATGTATATTATCTTGACATGTTGGCTCTTAATTAACAGCTGCAGTCTGGTGACTGCATTTTACTTAAGTGATTGCAAGTTGATGAGCATGACAGAAAGAAAAAAGCAAAGCTAAAAAGTAACTTAACCCTAACAAAAGATGTGAAACAATGCATTAAAAACATAGTGTAGAAAAATTCTGATAAAATATTTTAACAAATAGAAGAGAAAAACAAAAATCCCTGATTTACCATAATTAGGATAAATATAATTTATTAAAAATCCCTGACGTTCAATGTATAATAGATCTTTTAAAATTCTATGATATTACATAAATTCCATGACTCATGGAATGAACTACATTAAACAAAGTAAGTTTCAGGTAGGTGATAAATCAGAATTAGAGACACTTTTCACCATTAACAAACTTCTTCAGCAATTTCCCACAGCTAAATGCCATGGCATGTAGCTTTTACTAGTATACTAGGGCTGTGTGATTTGGGGGAAATATGTAATTGCGATTTGATTTACGATTTAATTAGAGCTTCAAGCTAATTTTTTTTAATTCAAGCTTCAGCTCAATAATCTGTAAGCCGTAGCAACAACTCTGCGACAGCTCTTAAAAATTGTCTGTTTTTTGTTTGATGTCTGTGACTTTGAAACCAAAATATTCCCATATTACAAATGCTGTTTTTCTTTTAAATTAATTCATCTATTAATGCTTCTGGACCAGCAGATGCCATAATCCCAATAGTCAGCACTTTCCAGTTTGTTTTCATTTTCATTGATTTCCGCACGATTTCCTTGACGTAGGGTGTCATGGGGGTTGTAAACGACAAATGGTTGTCGTGACACAAGATTCAATCGTTTCTTCTTGTGTAATGTGGCATAGTGCATGACAAACAATACCATGTCTGCGATGCCTCACGACACCATCGCAGACAGTCTAGCATATTTAATTTTCTGAAGCATAGCGGACTGGTTCTGAAGATGTTATTCTTTATTTTTGTTTATATATATATATATACACAAGCGCTGTCAAAATTAACGCGTTAACGAATGCGATTAATTTGAAATAATTAATGCGTTAAAAAAAATTAACGCAGTTTTTTTTTTTTTTCCTGTTGTGGCCAGGGCAGACGCCGGGCAGTTTACCGCTGTTTCGATGTACTTTTTGGGCCAGGCTGATCGTCTTCTTATGATCTGATCAGCCCATAAAACACTCAGCAGACTGTCATGTCTTTCTGCCTCCACTTAGAATCCAATATGAAAATCAATGTTTTCTTTATTGGCATTGATTGTTTTGAAATTCAAGTGGCATTAACATGCCTGTGTTTTAATTTCTGTAATAAATATGGCTGTCAAACCAGGATCTTGATGGTTTATTGTGGGTATGTTGTTTACATGAAGAAATCTGTGTTACAAGTAAACAAAAATTCAAATAAAGAATTATATTTTGAATTTAAATAGTATTTGTCTTGCGTTAACATTAATTTTACACTCGAATAGACAAAATTACAAGTTTCAGTCTTTTAAATGCGATTAATCGTGATTAATTTTCTTTAGAAGTGCGATAAATTAGTTAATTTTTTTAGCGATTGACAGCACTAATATATATATTTTTTATATTTTTTTTTAATATATATATTTTTTTTATTGCAGCCTCTCGCGATTAACTAATCGCAACGTTTCAAATTGTGATTCAATTTTGATTAATCACACAACCCTACTCAGCACAGTATATATCTAAACTTCTTCCAGATGAGTGTGATTCCCTTATATTTTATAAACACCGCCTCATGTATACATACAAACACAATAAAGAGCACACATACAGACCTGTATGATCCGGACACAGCACGGTCTCCATCCACAAACATGAATTTCTGACTCAATGAGCCTCGCACTTTCTGAGCGGAGCGTGTGTAGAATTCAGAACCACCGATGCATCGTACCCGCAGATGCTGCAAACACAAATCATCATTATTGCATAAACATAAATTGCACTTATCTTGAAATTGTCTTCAAAAAACATAAGTGTATGCATCTTTGACCTACATTAAGGTGTCCTTTATGCATGTTGGCTCTCTCGCACATAAGGAGAAAGTGCTGTACGGCTGCATTATCAATAATAATGTATATAGCCACTTTCTTTTTAAAACCAGCCTCTATTAGATCCTTAAAAATGTCAACGTCTGTGAAAACGTCCATCACCACTGCTATCATCTGCAAACACACACACACACACACAGTAAATGTATGTTAAACAGTTCCCAGAAAAAAACACAGATGCTTTTATATTCTTAGTGTACAAATTACTATACGGGTCAAATTACAATTACAATTCTATTGTCAGCATTGTATGATCTCTTTATTAAGAAGACAACGTGCTGATGTAGACACAGAACAACTCCTACACACCCTGAATCAGTCGTACTGCACCCATTAAGACCTAGATCTCATTATAAGCTCTCATTGTGAGAAATGTCTTTGAGTAAAGAGACAAAGTAATTGAGTGTGTGTTTCAAGGAGAAGGGGGAGGAAGAGAGTTTGTGCCGGTATGTGTCATGGCCGAATCACTGGGTTCGAGCTTTAGCAAGTTTCAACAAGAAAAATGAGTCAGTTGGAAACCAGTATAGGATTGTGAAACTTGATGGATATTTGGACATTCAGCATGTTCATGTTGTTTTCTGCTGAACTCAAGTCATTCTGCAAAGTTCTGCGTTATCTTTTGAAATATTAATTAGCTTGGAAGAGAAGGGTTGTGATGAAAAACACGTGTTGACATACATACAGCAGCTATTTTGCTTAGTTTGGCCGCAACCACCTAGGACAATAGTTAAATCAATATTGACATTACTGTGTAATCATCCCCCTGATGTTGCCATTTAGAGGTAAATGATTTTAATAGCATTAATATTCATCCTTTTTAAATTCAATTTAATTAATTGTATTTTTTATTTTTTTTTTACAGTGAAAGGAAAACTACATTCAATATGGATTTTTGAGCTTGATTAAAAACAAAATCTAAATAAATACAGTGAACAATTGATTTCAAAAACCTTTACATTTTGGGAAAACATACATTTTCCAAATGTTATTGCAATATCCATTATGGGGAAAAATCCTATCCAATTGTTCACAGCAAGCAGCAGATCAAAAGCAGTTCAAAAGCAGAAACAATCCATAGTTTATGTGCAGATATTTTTTCTTATCAGGCTGATAATGGCAACTTTAAAGGAGCAGTTCACTTCCAGAGTGAGATTTCATCATGTACATACCCTCCATTTGCTATAAATCTTTAGTAGTTTCTTTTTTCTATAGAACAAAAAAGAAGATATCTTGAAAAATGTTGGAATCTGAAGAGTTGATGATCACATATTAGTGGTAACATTGGAAATCAATAGTGACCAATGATAACAATATTTCCAACAATTATCATGATGCATTACAACCATTTAAGGGATAGTTCTAGCAAAAAAATGTAATTCTGTCATCATTTACTTGGTTCAAACCTTCATGGTTTTTTTTTTTATCTTTTAAAAAAAACATATTTTGAAGAAAGTTGAAAGCCTGTAACCATTGATTTCCATTGTATTTCTTTTTCTTCCTGGAAGTAAATGGTTACAGACCTCCAGCTTTCTTCTAAATATTCTAAAAAAATATACTTTTTCATTCAACAGAAGAAAAAATTATTAAAGGTTTGAAACGTTTTCATTTGTGGGTGAACTATCCCTTTAATCAAATGATTTTTTTAGTTGAACCTAGCTTGGTCTAAATTGTCAGTGGGGATTAAGAAGTAGCCTATTTAACTGCACTTATAGAATATATATTTACATACTTGCTTATGGGTGAGTGTAAACCCTGAACCCTACTGAATATTCGGTCTGAAATCATGTAAGCATTACTTCAAAACAACTTTAGCACGATTATTTGACCGTGAACAATGTTGTACTTTGATATTCATTGGCTGCTAAAATGATTTCACTGTTAGGAATTACCAAAGAATAATGTTCTTAAAATGTTAGAATTAAGGAGAAAGTCAGAACGTGTGAATATAAAACCAACTTCACCTCAATAGTCAGATGATGATCACAAAAGAACCGGTTTAGTGCTTATCTTTTAAGGGTCTACAGTTTCTGGGACAGAGTGACCATACAGTACAATCGTGCTTTTCAAGATTGTCTAGTTTACCAACCTTCTGTGCTTGCGCGATGGCCTTTCTCACAACCTCTTTTATATGCGTTTGTCCGTCAATTGGCGGTTGCGTGTACACATTAACACGCGTCACTCCGCGGTAAGAATTGCAGTCGGGCCATCCGAGATCCAGATTCGGTATGGATGTGTCAGAGCGATCCGGCCAGTACTGTAAAGACACTGCCCTGTCCTCTCCCTCCGTCATACCATCCTGTTTTTGATGCTCAGAGCCGGGTTTATACTCTTCTATGCTCCTGCGAAACATCTCGAGTTCGGGTTCCGATAGGAAAGGACGCAGTTCACGCTCCTTCACAAAGGCGTCAAACGCGTCGCGTCCTTTCGTGGCAAGAGATTCAAGAGCGAGCCGCTGGTCCTCGCTGTAGAAAAACTCCGGTTTGGACTCATTTAGACGCCAGTTCACATGATTGTCATCAAGACACTGAACCTGAGAGAGAGCCATTGTGTTTCCAAAAACAATCCAAAATTGCTTATAAAAGAAGGATATTCTTTCTTCGAGTTATAAGTAATGTATTTAGTTAAGAGCTACTGTAATCCCCCCAAAATAAAGTCTTGGGGAAAAGTGTTTCCTCCGTTAACGGCTGGAAAAGTTCCTCGTGTAAAGCGTTTCCATATTAAAGGAAGCACTTTGTTGTCAAATAATGCGGATTGGCGGTCGTATAGAATCCTTTTATATATTTACATCAAGGTAAAACTGTGTCCTAAAGATAGAAACTGCCCCTCAGATGTTACTTGATCATGTTTCCCCGGGTAGAGTCCTACTTCAGTACAGAACGCAGTTGACCGCAGAGCCGCAGCAGATCATCTTTCAGTTGACAACAGGTAGACTCGAACAAAGCATCTCCAGAGGCTCTAGTGATTAGACACACCTCAGTCACCTGACCGGGAGGAGCACACACACACACATACACGCGCCCAACAGGCTTCAGCCACGCCGACTGGATCCGCGTTCAGGGTCTTCCACAAAAGCAGAAACCCTCGATATCACCGACTCCGACGAGCAAACAACAACAACCATCGTAAAACAAAGTTTACGGATTGTCACTACAGTGTTGACAGCTGAGCATAACTTTCGCGTTCTGTCCGATTTTAATAATGTCCGGTTAAAATTCCCGTGGAGTTTTTGCTTGACTTTGCACCACTTCTGCTGACTCTGAGCTACAAAGAGGAAGAGGCCAGACGTCGGGTTGCATGAGCGTCGATGACGCGGCGTCCTGTCCGAATATTACACGGCTGAGTCAACAGCTACGTGGGTTTGGGCGGGGTATCCGGGAAAAAAGTGACAGGAAACTGTAGAAAGTGAAACAGACAGTTCCTATTTCCCGCCAGACTATTAGCAACAATGTAGCTTCTGGAGACAGATAGACAAAAAGTTGAATGAACAATAGGAGGACTGGTTTTCAGACACAACTGAACTTCCATAAGAAATTTAAACCTTTTTATTAAAATATAGATATACCTATAGTAGGCTATTAACCGTGTTTTGGCGATTGCCATTTGATTTGTGTGACCACAGATTAACAAATACCATGCTATGCTAGAAAATAGGGCTGCACGAAAAATCGAACATTGCGATTTTTTATGGCAATATGAACACAATTTCACAATTTTGAGTTGAACTATTTGGAAATAATTTATAATTTCAGATATTGATTAGGGTGATTCTGTAGAGGAATGCATACAGATATAATAAACAATCTACAAGCATAGATAAGTTCAATAAAGACAATGAACAGCGTTTTCCAAACTGCATTCAGGTATACAGTAATTTGAATAATCAAATGTAAAATAATACTGCATTGTTTCCATTTTATAAACAATTCCATAACATGAATTGTTGTTAATTTGTCAAAGGTACAAGTGGTACAATTTTTTATGCTTGAATGCTTTTAAAAACTTCACAGTCACTGGCCAAAAAAAGAAAAAAAAAACTTCTAAATAATAATTTTTAATCCAGACTCATCTCCAGACTGTATTCTCACGATGTGACTATTGTGAATGATCACAATACGATATCGATGCTGAAAGGAATGATGTACTGTGTAGCCCTACTAGAAAACTAATTTGTGGTTACCATTGTTTTCGTAAGCAATGTTCCATCGTTATTCAGCTTTTTTTTTTATGCTAAACCCCAAAATATTTATTCAGATTCTATCTTAAGTTCCAATAAAATCAATGTTCCCAGTCTTAACAAGACTTTGTATTAGTAAAAGTAAATATTTCAGTTTGATAGACTAAAATACTTGTGCATAAAATGCACAAACGAAGTTACTGCTGTCACTGTACTGTATATGTAACAGAATGTCTTTCTTTTCGGCTTAGTCCCTTTATTAATTCGGCGTCACCGCAGCGGAATGAACCGCAAACTAATGCAACATATGCTTTACACAACGAATGCCCTTCCGCTGCAACCCATCTCTGGGAAACATCCATACACACTCATTTACACTAATACAATACGAACAATTTACCCTTCCCACTTCACCTATACCACATGTCTTTAAACTATGGAAACCAGAGGAAACCCATGCGCACGCAGGGAGAACATGCAAACTCCACACAGAAAAGCCAACTGTCCCAGCCGAGGCTCGAACCAGCGACCTTCTTGCTGTGAGGCGACAGTATCTTATATTTATTAATTTATCTTATAAATAATTTATATTATTTGTTCTAGCATTTTCTGAAATGTTTTGTTTATTAATTGTTCCTTGTTTAAAATTTAAGTTAAGTAACAACTTAGGTGATAAAGTAGTTATAACTAATAAGTTATAATTTATATCAGTTATAACTATAAACTTAGTTATAACCATAACTTAGTTATAACTAGGCTCACACGAAATCTGCACAAGCAGAAATCCAGATTTTTTAGCCCATCATTTAGTTTATTTATTTACTTGTGTATATGTGGGTACATTAATATTTATTCAGTTTTTAAAAATAATGTCAGTAATATTATTGACGAATATGAAAATGTTCATTTCATTTATTTACAATACAGTTTGTAAAATAATATTTTCTTTCTTTCAGTAGATCTATTATATGAGAGACCTGCTTTGTTTACCAAATAAGTGGATGTAATTGGATTTGCATCAAAAACATTAAATAATTTTTTATTTAATTTTTTTTATATATATTAAGTTTTTAGTTACGAAAAATCCTCTAAATCATTCCTCATTAAACTGAAGATTTTTTTTTTTGTTTTGTTTTTTTACAAAATTCTGCACAGAGATAGCAAAAAATGTCAGCAGATTCTGCCTGGCCCTAGTTATAACTAAAGCTATAATGGCTGTATTACATTTATTTTTAAATCAAGACATTTTTAACAAATAATAAAAAATAATGATGCAGTTTTTTCAAACTAAAGGAATGTTTTCTGTCTCTTAAAAAAAGGTTTTCACAATTTTTCCCCGAATAAGGGGAATAAACCTAATATAAATAGCTGCATTGAAAAAACTTATTTTTTCTCAGACACAGTGGCTTGTGTGGACCCTGAAGAGTGTGTGAAGGTGTGTGGCGCAGAGGTGGGCTGCTCCAACATTGCTTTTCCTAAACTGGTCATCGAACTCATGCCTAGCGGTAATCAGGAGCTCTTATTCTTTTTCACATTAAGCATTTTGATTGTCATTACATATTTTATCAAGTGTGTCATGAACGTTAATAATCATGCAGTTGTAAACATGTATTCCAGGCCTTCGGGGGTTAATGATAGCTGTAATGATGGCCGCATTGATGTCATCACTTACCTCCATCTTCAACAGCAGCAGCACCCTCTTCACCATGGACATCTGGAAGAAATATCGAAGAGGTGCAAGCGAAAAAGAGCTGCTACTTGTTGGCAGGTATTAATATTTGTTCATGACTGCTTTTGACAAGTTATCCAGGAACCTGTGTCAGCTATTAAAAATGATCAATCATTATGACATGCATTAAGATAACATGTTGTCTAAGATCCAACATTACGGTGTTTGGTGCAAAAGCTATCACAGGAAAGAATGTCGAAATTATTTTTGGCATTAGAAATGCAATCCAAAATCGTGATAAGAAATATATATTAATCATTTAGATTAGCTTGTAACTCGTTTGTCATTAGCTGAGATCAGTTTATGAAAATAAAACCAAAAGTTTTCTTTATTTAATTAGACTATTGAAGATTAGTAGCCAAATATCATATCTGAAAATAAAATAAAAATAAATATGTCTGGAAAGTATTCATAGCGCTTCACTTTTTCCAAATTTTTTTTATGTTGCAGCCTTATTCCAAAATGGATTAAATTAATTTATTTCCTCAACATTCTACACACAATACCCCATAATGACAATGTGAAACAAGATTTTTTTAAATTGTTGCAAAGTTATTAAAAATAAAAAACCTGGAAAATCACATGTGAGTAGGTATTGACAGCCTTTGCTCAATACTTTGTTGATGCACTTTTGGCAGCAATTACAGCCTCAAGTCTTTTTGAATATGATGCCACTAGCTTGGCACACCTGTCTTTAGGAATCTTTGCCCATTCCTCTTTGCAGTACCTCTCAAGCTCTATCAGGTTGGATGGGAAGTGACGGTGTACAGCCATTTTCAGATCTCTTCAGAGATGTTCAATAGGATTTATATCTGGGCTCTGGCTCGGCCACTAAAGTACATTCACCGAGTTGTCATGATGCCACTCCATTGATATTTTGGTGGTGTGCTTTGGGTGATTGTCCTGCCGGAAGATGAACTGTCACCCCAGTCTGAGATCAAAAGCACTCTGAAGCAGGTTTTCATTCAGGATGTCTCTGTACATTGCTGCATTCATCTTTCCCTCTATCCTGACTAGTCTTCCATTTCTTGCTGCTGAAAAACATCCCCACAGCATGATTCTGCCACCACCATGCCACCACCATGCTTCACTGTATTAGCCTGGTCATGAGCGGTGCCTGGTTTTCTCCAAATGTAACGCCTGGCATTCACTCCATCAGATCAGATAAATTTGTTTCTTAGGTCTAAGAGTCCTTCAGATGCCTTTTGGCAAATTTCCAGGCGGGAAGTGGCTTCGGTCTGGCCACTCTACCATACAGGCCTAATTGGTGGATTGCTGCACAGATGGTTGTCCGTCTGTAAGGTTCTTCTCTTTCCACAGAGGAACGCTGGAGCTCAGACAGAATGATCATCGGGTTATTGATCACCTCCCTGACTAAGGCCCTTCTCCCCCGATCACTCAGCTTAGATGGCCGGCCAGCTCTAGGAAGAGTCCTGGTGGTTCTAAACATCTTCCACTTACAGATGATGGAGGCCACTGTGCTCATTGAAATTTTTAGAGAAGCAGAAATTTTTCTGTAACTTTCCCCAGCCTTGTGCCTCAATACAATCCTGTCTCACAGGACTACAGACAATTCCTTTGTCTTCATGCTTGGTTTTTGCTTTGACATGCACTGTCAACCCTGGGATCTTATATAGACAGGTGTACGCCTTTTCAAATCATGTCCAATCCACTGAATTGACCACAGGTGAACTCCAATTAAGCTGCTGAAACATCTCAAGAATGATCAGTGGAAACAGAATGTACCTGAGCTCAATTTAGAGCTTTACGGAAAGGCTGTAAATACTGATGTACATGTAATTTTTCATCTTTTTTATTTTTTATAAATTTGCAACAATTAAAAAAATATTTTTTTCACATTGTCATTATGGGGTATTGTGTGTACAATTTTTGAGGAAATAAATGAATTTAATCCATTCTGGAATAAGGCTGTAGCATAAAAAAATATGGAAAAAGTTAAGCGCTATGAATGCACTATATGATCAGCTTTATGACCATAATGATAATTTCCATATCAAGTTCATATCAAAACTAATATGTTGATTTGTTCTGTCAGGATAGTGACTGTCATTCTGGTGGTGATCAGCGTGGTGTGGATCCCAATTCTTCAGAGTGCTAACAGCGGTCAGCTCTATGTTTACATCCAGTCGGTGACCAGCTATCTGGCCCCTCCTGTTACTGCCATTTTTGTAATGGCGGTTTTTTGGAAAAGAACCAACGAAGCGGTAATGCACACACAAACGCATTCATACAACAGATAAACAGTGTCTGTTGCCTCACTTAGACTGTGTACATATTGACATACCAGCATTATCAGTCATATGCGTTTGAAGAAAGCTCTTCTCTCTCGCAAAGAAGGAATGTCAGGCTTTAATGCTTCCGATTGGTGAGGGTGTGTGTTTTTGTCTGTGCAAACACAAAAAGTGCGTCTGAATGACAGTGAAGGAGAGAATAACTTTCACTTATAAGTGACTGAGATAAGAGATATTCATATCTGTTTATAAAAAGTCATGCGTTAAAGGATCACTCCACATTTTTTTGTTGGCAATAGGCTCATTTTACAGCTCTCATACAGTTCAGTGTTACCATTTTTGAATCCATTCAGCCAATCTCTGGGTCAACCAGGAAGGCTTTTAATCAGATTAGAGCCTTAGTATCTCACTCAAAAAATTCAAAATGGAGTTTAGATAATTTCCTATTTAAAGTTTGATTCTTCTATAGTTACATCTTGTACTAACACTGATGGAAAATGAAAGGTTGCTGTTTCCTTGGTTGATATGGAAAGGAAATTCTAGTGTAAAACTGGTGTAAAAACTCACTCATTCTGATGTAAAAATCAAGAAACTTTGCAGCTGTATCATGGCTGCAGCAGGCACATTAAAATCATGCAGCACCTGAAAATCATCCCCAGCCAGGTAACTAGGAAAAAGCGCTGCATAATATCATTTTTATTATAGAAATTATCAAAACTATTTTTTTTGAGTGAGATGCTAATGGTCCAATCCAATTGAAGAAATTATGCTAAGCTAAGCTAAATTTCCTCCTGCCAGACCCAGAGATTGGGGGAATGTATTCAAAAAGGTAAAATTCAACTGTTTAACTCTATAAGGAGATTTAAAATCGGCCTGTTTGCAAAAAATAAATTAATTAAAAAAATGGATTGTTCTGTTAATACAAGTCATTTTATTGTAGTGTTTATGAATCGTTATAACAAATAGTTTTTGATTAATAATGAAAGCATTAAATAAAAATTTTCCTAAGCACCATTTTTTAGTGAGATGCTAATGGTCTAATCTGATTGAATGATTTATGCTAAGCTAAGCTTAGTAAAGTCTTAAGCTTAAAGCCCTAGTCCTATAGAGACTAGTCCCCCTGCCAGACCCAGAGATTGGGGGAATGTAATCAAAAAGGTAAAACTCATCTGTTTAGCTCTAGGGGAGATGTAAAATGATCCTATTTTGCAAAAATAAAATAAATTTTTAAAAAGTGTTTCATTAATATAAGTCATTATATTGTAGTTTTTTTTTTTGAGTCGTTATAAAATCAGTTTTTGAATAGTAATAAAAGCTTTAAGTAAAACTTATCTAAGCAGCATTTTACTTTGTACATGCAAACAAAACATGAAATATATTAAACAATCAAAATGATCAAAAGTCTTTTTTTTCTTGAGTGAGATGCTAATGGTCTAATCCGATTGAATGATTTATGCTAAGCTAAGCTAAAAGTCCTCCTGCCCGACTCAGAGATTGGGGAAATTTATTCAAAAAGGTAAAACTCATCTGTTTAGCTCTAGGAGAGATGTAAAATGAGCTTTGCAAAATTAAATATATCAATAAAATAAAAAATGGAGTGTTCCATTAATAATAAGTAATTATACTGTAGTTGTTTTTTTTTTTGAGTCATTATAAAATCAGTTTGTCTAAGCAGAAATTTACTTTGTACATGTAGTATAAAAATTATAGATAGATGGACGAACGGACGGACGGATGGAGGGACAGACAGACAGACAGACAGACAGATAGATAGATTAGATAGATAGATAGATAGATAGATAGATAGATAGATAGATAGATAGATAGATAGATAGATAGATAGATAGATAGATAGATAGATAGATAGATAGATAGATAGATAGATAGATAGATAGATAGATAGATAGATAGATAGATAGATAGACATTGCTATCAAATAGACAGATGGATAGCATGACAAAATTGCATGACGTTTTACTTGAGGTTTTTGCTAGGGAAAAACAAGGATATGGAACAGAAGTAACATTGTGTGAGAGTGCATAAGATACAGACCTTGTGATTCAATAATTTGATACTTTGAAAACCCCTCTAACCCAATGCGTTTTGAAAGATATGCTTAGCATGATCCTTTCAGAAGGCATGCGATGTACCAGGCTGATTATCTTGGATGTTTAGCAAAGAGCTAAACACAGTTCTGCACATTGGCTGCATTAAAGCGACTGAGTCTGCCAACACAGAGCTCACGTCATCTGTAACTCAGAGTTTTCGGTTCAGGCATGTTTAAAAAAGCATGAAAACCTGTTAAACAAAGCTTTTCAGGGCTCTGGGGGGTGGGATTTTAAAATTGGTGTGTTTTTTACCCTGAAGGCTGTATTAGTGGAAAGTTATTCCCCATCCCCCACAGGAGAAAGAAATACCCATTTATCCGGTGAGATCTCAAACAAGTTTAACTGCTCAAAATAGGGCTTGCATAATGTCTAAATTCAAAAATAAATTCAAGTAGCTCAAATACAAAATATATTATTTAATAAATAAAAAAGTTATGATGGCATTCAATATAGAATATATATGGGATATTCCACCAAAAACGTACATTATCTGTCCCTGAAGAAAGAAAATACAGTAAATAAAAAGTATTTCATGCCAAAAATGTCTACAATGGACTGATGGTTGATTTCTGTCAGTTGTTCCATGAATATGTCATTTATTTGGGTCTCAGATTTTTGTTTTTTATAAAACACTTTACATCATCAGCCCAATTAAACCTTCAGCTTTAATAATTTTCTTCTGCTAAAAACTGTTATTTAGAAAAATAAATCAGAATTAGCAAAGTTTAAGTTGTTATTGTTAAGTTGTTATTTATGTAACAAATTTTATTTAATTATCAATTTTTTTATTGTCCCTGAACAAAATAATGTGAAAACCTAGTAGGCCTACCTTAATTATTTTATTATACTTTTTTTTTTATCAATTTCTTAATGAAATCACGGTTTTGAGCCGAACATATGAAAGAAATAGACACTTGAATATGACAGACGTCCTCATCAATATACGTATTTTTAATCTCATTAAATCAAACTTTACTAAAAGAGACAAAAAAATCTTAACAAATAACTGTAGACAGGTAGGGCGAAGCAGTGGCGCAGTAGTTAGTGCTGTCGCCTCACAGCAAGAAGGTCGCTAGTTCGAGTCTCGGCTCAGTTGGCGTTTCTGTGTGGAGTTTGCATGTTCTCCCTGCATTAAGGTGGGTTTCCTCCAGGTGCTCCGGTTTCCCCCACAGTCCAAAGACATGCGGTACAGGTGAATTGGGTTAGCTAAATTGTGCGTAGGATATGAGTGTGTGTGTGAATGTGTGTGTGGATGTTTCCCAGAAATGGGTTGCGGCTGGAAGGGCATCCGCTGCATAAAAACTTGCTGGATGAGTTTTTGGTTCATTCTGCTGGGGTAAATAAATAATAAAGGGACTAAGCCAACAAAAAAATGAATGAATGAATGTAGACAGGTAGGGCAGCTAAACACTACAGCTGTTCTTACAGGAGAGACACTGAAAAAAATGTCTGCCAAATTGTTGCAAACAATTTATTTGTGTTGAATTTAAACAAACAAATTAAATTTAGTGATTTTCAACTTAATTTATTTGTTTAAATTCAACATAAACAAATTGTTTACAACCCCTTAACTTAAAAAAATTAAGTAAATTCAAGGAATCATCTTTGAATAATTTTTTTCAGTGTACCTAAAGCTCCCTTGAAAAGAATAGTACAGCTTCTTTTGGAAACACCAGTTAGTGCAAATGCAGTTTCAAACATATATTGATAGTGGCTCATCGAAGCATGAGACATGCAACATTTGTATTCAACCAATTTGTGAGAAAATGTAAAAAGACTGAAATAGGCTGTATATTCTTCCTACTATTAACATAGCCTGACATGCAAAGGGATATATTTTTGGTAGCTTGACAGGAAAGCATAATTGCCCAGGGATATCGGGCTAGCAGTTTTGCGAGCCCTGGCTAAAAAAAATGTTGTTCACTTAGAACAGAACTTCATTTTAAGCTTAATCATGCCCTGAGAAAAAAAGCAGCTTACCAGAAGAAACTAAAACTAGCTGAGTGACATTCATAGGGTAAAACATTTGTAGACACGCATCTGTGTGCCTCAGTGACAAATCTAAAATCATGACTAAAAATCTGTTCAGCCTATAGACCATATCAATGTGGCCATGTCATTGGCCCATGAACATTTCCTGCTTGTAAGTAAGCTACAAGAGGGAATTCAATCAAAGCTTCATGCTAAAACGATCAAAACATTATTTATCAAGGTTCTTTGTGGATTCTCGGAAACTGTAGTAATTAAAAATGTAAAACAGGACATACATGTATATTGGGATCTTTTTTTTTGCTTACATCTCCCAAAATGGTCTATAAAACTTATAAAAATCTTCTGTCTGTACACACTGCATATTTTTTGTGAAAACACACTCATAAATAAGGACTTTTGTTCACAGTTCCTACAATTATTAGCGGAAGTATCCACTTTTGGCGCACTTGAATTGCAGGAACTGGGAACAATTTAAATACTAGGAATGCCATTGTGGCGGAAATAAATGAGCTCTTACCTCAGAGTGGTCTAATCAAGTACAACAGGAACTGCAGTGATATAAGTGTAAACTGATTGGCTAAATATTGATGAATAAATAATGATGAACACTCCAATGCTTCACTTTTCTCATGTCTCTGGTGATCAAATTGCACAATGTACTTTCAGATATACTGTATATGCAAAATCATCATGCTTCAAATATTTGAACAAACTGAGTATGCTTTGTCAAATGACAATCTTTTCAGCTGAAGTACAGAACAGGTTTAACGTCAGGAGCGAGTGCAATATCTGGCCATAACTGTTCCTGCACAGCAAATTCATCAGAGTTAAATTCTCGGTGTTGAAGCATTTCAGAGTAAAGTGTTGACGTTA